ACAGCATTCATTACAGACTGTAGCAGGGCAATACGACCTGTGGCAAGACCTATTAGGAGAGAGTTACAATAATCCATGCAAGAGATTACTAGAGCATGGACAAGCTCCTTAGCAGCATCTTGTGTAAGAAAGGGGCGGATGTGGGCTATGTTTTTAAGGTTGAATCTACAGGATTTGGTAACAGACTGGATGTGACGATCAAATGTGAGGCCAGATTCAAGTATAACGCAAAGACAGCACGCTTGCAAGGATGGACTGATGTAGGTACCACTAACTTGAAGGGAGAGTGAAAGAGGGGGGTCAGTATTAGGAGGAGGAAAGACAAGGAGTTCAGTTTTAGAGAGATTGAGTTTCAAAAAGCAGGAGGACAGCCAATCAGAGATGGAAGAAAGGCAGTGACACGTTGCAGGACGGTAGGGGAGAGGTCCAAGGAGGAGAGGTATATCTGAGTGTCATCAGCGTACAGGTGGTATTGGAATCCAAATGAGGTAATAAGTTTCCCAAGAGGCAGTATAAAGAGAAAATAGAAGAGGGCCAAGTATAGAGCCTTGGGGGACTCCAATAGAGACAGTATGTAGGTATGAGGTATTATTAGAAAAGGAGACATTGAATGAGCGTTGGAAGACATAGGAGGAAAACCAAGAGAGAACATGGTTAACAGTGTCAAAGGCAGCAGAGAGGTCAAGAAGCATTAGTATAATGTAGTGCCCTTTGAATTACAGCTTACATCTGATTGAAAATGAAACCATTTTGTTTTTATACAGGCTGTGCAACGTGTGGCTAGGGCTGCAAAAACAGAAACAAAAGTGGTTTATTCTTAAATGGTAGAGAATTGAGCAGTACACAAAAACTGCTTCACTAAGCTAAAGTTGTTTTGATGACTATAGTGTCCCTTTAAGGTCAAAAAGCTATTCTAGACTAAATTTTGCCAGCCACCACAGTTTAATGTTTGTGGATAAACCCCAATGATTCATTAACGAGATGTAGTCACACAGTCACAGTTAATCTCATTCAACACACAGTCAGGGCGGCCGGCGTGTTCATAAGGCAGCACAAGCGGCCTCCTTAGGGCGCCAGAGCAGGGGGGTGCATAAATCCGAATCCCCTGCCTCTGGCTGGGGACTCGGATTTTTCAACTCACCTCGCTCTCCTTGCAGCCTGCAGCCAGTGGAGTCGGCCAACCCCTCCAGATGATGTCAGAAGGAGGGGGCGTGACAACCACTGCTCTTCTCCCAGACCGCTGGGGAGTCTGGGAGAAGAGCAGGGTAAGTCACGACCCTTCATCCTGACATCATCAGGGGGGGGGCCGGCCGACTTCACTGGTTGCAGGCTCAGGACCCTGACCCCCTCACAGCCCCCGCCCCCCTTTACAGCCCCTATGTCCCCCTCTAGAGCCCATGTGGCCCTCTCAGCTGCTGTCCCACCCTCTCAGCTCTTGTCCCCCTCTCAGTCCCTGCCCCCCTCTCTACAGCCAATGTGCCCCCCTCCATAGCAGCTGTCTACTCCTTCAGCTCTTGTATCCCCTCTCAGCACCTGTCCCCTCTGAGCCCTTGCGCCTCTCACCAAAGCCCTTGCACCCCTCACTATAGCCCCTGCCTCCCCCTACAGCCCCAGTCTCCTCCACCACAGCCCCTAACTCCCCTACTACAGCATCTATCACCCCACTGCACCCCCTACATTTTCACCCCTGCTCTGTATGACTATAATGCATCTTTGCCTGTGTAGCCAAAAGTCCTTACACCGGCACAACACACAGTGTCTCCTGTGTCACAGCACAAATCTGTAGAGAGCATGTTTAATGTTTACAGCATTAAAACTTTAAAGGATACAAGGCACCATGAATATAACTGAACTGGTAGATAGTGCTATTTGCCAATAGATTACAGTATTGCTGCTCCGTCAAGGATTTGCTCGGTTTGCCCTTATTGAGGTTCAAAGCATATATTTCATACCAAACGTGATTGTGCATACCACTATTATTGGGTATTTATTTTCCTTAAAAACAAAATATTTTTGCTATTTTATCATTGTTCCTTAGATGTTCTCCATATAACTTAAAGGACCACTATAAGCACCCAGACCACTTCAGCTTAATGAAGTGCCAGCTTAATGAAGTGCCATCTTAATGGGTGCCAGGTCCAGCTAGGATTAACCCTTTTTTCTATAAACATAGCAGTTTCAGAGAAATGTTCATTGAGAATGCTTTCCTATGGACTGGCTGAATGCGCGCGTGGCTCCTGCCGCGCATTCAGCCGATGATGATGCTATGGAGGAGGAGAGGAGGAGGAGAGTCTCCCGCCCGGCGCTGGAGAAAGAGGTAAATTTAACCCCTTCCACCCCCTAGAGCCCGGCGCGAGGGGGACCCTGAGGGTGGGGGCACCCTCAGGGCACTACAGTGCCAGGAAATGAGTATGTTTTCCTGGCACTATAGCGGTCCTTTAAAAGTGAAAACTGTGTGGATGAAATGTTCAGGTAGGCATAGTTTTAATTTATATCTTGTGTTGACAAAATTGCCATCAAATAAGTCCCCAATCCCAATAAATAGGAGAGAATCTTAGATATCCTAGTGTTGCAGGACTTCAGTTGGTTTCTCTGCATGAGCAACTGCAGACAAAGCTGTATTTAAAGTAATTACTGCTATGCCATTGAGATTCAATACAATAAATTAACATTTGAACATTGAATATATATTTTATTCACTGTAAAAGGAAAGCAGGGTGTTTATTTGCTTATTCCAAATATCTTGCCATTTGGATTTTAAATTGCTGTAAATTTTGGAATTTAAACAAGTACAGCTTGCTGTAGTTTTTATGGTGCCAGGAGGGACCTGGCTCCTTCCTAAGGTAATTAGTCAAACCATTTTTAAACGGTCTGACACTTACCTGGGACTCTGAGTTTCATCTGGTTGGTCCAGATACATTTCAAACAACGTGCAAATGATTTCATTACATACTTTGGGGGAGCACCCGGGCACCACTGGCACTCTAAACATTGCAGAGCGCTGTACTGGTTATGGTGTCCAGAGTAACCTAGTGACCCCCTTTTTAACAACCGTTTGACTTCTTACTTAGGGAGAGGGTTAATTTTGTGTTCACTTTTACACATTTTTACCCACATGAGAAAGGGCAGCAGATACCTGAAGCATCCTAGCCACTCAATACAGAGAAATGCATACTTGCCCAATGCCGGGTGGGTTTTAAAAGTTGAGCTACTCAACTACATTACTGTGAAATTCACATCTTACAATTAAATATTACATTTATATAGTACCAATCTGTTTGAAGCCCACCACCTGCTACACCATTAGGACATTTCTTACACTACTACTTCCACCATTAAATATACTCTAATATTACTTGTTTCCTATGTCCCAATATATTGTAGAGTGTGCATATAAGATAATATATAGCCTGCTCAATGCTGCCCACTAACTATAGGCACCCAGTGGAAGAGGGTTCATGGAATCTTCCTGGTACCCAAAGGGATAACCTTACTAGGGTTATTTGATTATTCCATTCCCCAGGCTGTATTCAATATCCCCTATCATAATGAAACAGACATTTCCTTTTGCAGATCCTTATCTGTAACTTGGGATTTATAAAATCTTTTGAGAACAAGGATACAGCAGAGTTTCATTTTTACTCATGCACAGGTACTGATGGTGCACAGTGTCACGATGTCTACACCACTAAGAGGCTGTGTTACAGGTAGTGGCTTGGCTTTGAGGTGTGCAGGAGACAGAGCTGGATCTTAAAGGACACTCCAGGCACCCAGTCCACTTCTGCCCATTGGAGTGCTCTGGGTGCCAACTCCCACTACCCTTAACCCTGCAACTGTAAATATTGCAGTTTTCATAAACTGCAATATTTACCTTGCAGGGTTAACTCCTCCTCTAGTGGCTGCCTCCTAGACCGCACATGCGCAATTGGTCTCGCCTGCCGGATGATGTCGGCGGGGGAGGAGCGTGGGCGGACCCTGAACCAGTGCCAAGGGACATTGGCGCTGGATACAGGTAAGTCACTGAAGGGGTTTTAACCCCTTCAGCAACTTGGGATGGGGGTGGGAGGCGACCTGCACTGGAGAGTCCCTTTAATTGTTCCTGGTCTGGCAGCTGCTTCATCCAAGCCTTTCCATGCATTACAGACAGAGGGAGAGAAAGAGCTGCTTACCCTGCAACATTTCTATAGAGATTTCTGTTCCAGGGTGGATCTAATAAAGCATGGGGGTTTGTGCGAAAAACATTTTTTGGCCTACATAGAGCAAGGATGGAGAGATGGATTCTCAACTGCCATACAACTCTCATGATACCTTGCCAGTTGAGGTTCTACCATTTGCCGATCCTTGCAGAGTTGTATTTGTATGCAGTGTCTGTATGTTTGAATGCAGGGGTGTATTCATGCGTAGTGTTTTTGGTTAAGAATAAATAAATAAGAATAAAGGGACATTTTCATTATATATATATATATATATATATGAATGAATACATACATACACACAAACACACCGCCACACAGGGGAAGAGGGTTCATTGAGGCTTCCTGGTACCCCTAGGGCAACTATGGAATTAGTGATTGTAGCCCCAGATAGCAATTTGGGATTGTAACACTCAAAAATCTCTTAACTTGTACAGGTACTGCTATAAGATAAAGGATAACCTGTAATCTTAACTAACTGAAAATAAATAATAAATACAAAAATAAATAAAAAGACCACTAAAGAATGAATGAGCAAAACATAGCACCATGTCTGGGTTACACACTTGGCTATTACATGCCCTCTCTCTCTCTCTCTCTCTGTCTACACTATTTACTTTACATATTATTCCAATTTCATTAGCACAGATATTTCTGAAGACACATTACATATATTCCACTTTGATAATGGATTTGGAATAATTATGGAAATCCTGAAAATATATTGTAAATTATTCAATCTAGTTGATTTAAAATAGTTACACGGACTATCAGGCTACATAACATGAAATCACTACCAAACAGAACATGGTTTGCAATCAGGCACCACGCGGGCAGCTACAGGAAGGACCCCTTTGCCCTCTTTCCCGTGAGCACTTCCTGGAGGGAACAGTCTACCCTAGCTGCGTGACGTCCGAACGCACGTTTGATCGATGTAGAAATTAGCCAATCGGGCTCTGAGATGGGCGGGCGCTCCGGCTAAGAACGTCTTGCTATTGAGCCGAGGCCGCAGTGACGTAGCGCGCCGTGTGAGGGTACGCTGCACTGCACAGCCATGCTCCGTATAGCCGGGACCAGCTCATAAAGGGTCAAGTGCGGCCGGTACCCGGACAGCGTGACGTCACGAGTGAGACGGGGGGTTTGACGTCACGATCTGGGGTCACAGGTGAGTCGTGGGGGAGGGTGAGGTATGACCTAACAACACAATATACACACCCACACACACGCAACTATAAAATCGCTGTTTTGTAGACACATCACGTGCACACACATCAACGGAAAGCCCAATATTGATTGCCAGCCGGTCGGTCATGGCTAGCTCTAGGTACACACAGACAGTCACACAGTCACACAGAGCGTGCCCATAGCCGCACGGTATACACAGCCTGGCTGGCTAGTCAGTGAGTATCTGCACATTCACATCCCCCACATTTCATTCAATAAGGACCTGGCCTGGGTGACATAGTAATGCTGAGTACCCGGAGCATGCCAATGGCCTGCATTATCACATAGACCAGGGGACATGGTGTTTATTACAATGTACACTCTCAGCTGTTGCAAAACTACGACTCCCATGATGCACCAGGGGAGGTTTAGTTCTCCGGCAGCTGGGGAGATACCGGTACCTTTTGGTCATTTTACTGTACTTCCTGATCAGTCTGAAGTCACAGTTATTTTGTTATAACGTGTATGTCATAACCACAAATAGGATGTACTAACTGGAGATTTATTTTATTCAATTTGGTAACTTTTTAACCTATACTTTGAAAAGTATTATTTGCATCATATTCTCTGGCTGTGCCTGAAACTCCTGGTATACAATGTAAATCAGAAGCTGTGTCGTCATCTTCTTCCTCTTCTTCTTTTTTTTATTTTTTAAACTAGTATTGGGTTGTGTAAAAAATTTCCGAATCAACAATCTAAACACTCACATGTTAGGTTTTGTTACATTTTGCAACATTTTCATGTTATATATTTTTTTTTTTTTTTTAGTAATGGATACATAATGAGGTGCACAGTGTTTAAATATGAAACAAACTGACTACATTAGAGTAACACTACAGCTTGGGGAATACAAAACATGTATTCTTAACACCATAATATCTAGACTTGTGCACAAGTCACATTTAAAGGAATCAAATGCCTGTTGATCGCTGCACTAACAAATCGATTCAAGCATCCAATTAGAAGCCCTTCTCTAACGAAAGCTTAATGTAGTTGTTCTGGTGATTATAGTCCGTCCCTGCAGGCTGCATGAAGCCACTGAACTATCCCCCAAAGAAATTCATTGAGTCAATGCATCTCTATGCAGGAGATGCTGATTGGTCAACACAGCATTTTGCCACACATATCCTATGGGAAAGCATTGGATTGGCTGAGATAATTAGTTCTGATTCACAGCAAAGGAGGCGGATGAGGGGCAAATCCTGTGCGTGGAGCTGGAACATAGGTACGTTTTCTACTTATTTAAGGAGGGACGGAAATCTAATCTTTTTAACACTATAGGGTCGGGGATACACATGTTTTTCTGACCCTATAGTGTTCCTTTAAATAAAAAGGAAAAACAATTTAAAAAAAATCTTTTCCAGTATGGAGATTCACTTTCAACGTCATATAGCAAGTATGGCTTCATTGTCTTCTTGTCCAATGCAATGTGCGCATGCTCTCTCATTTTTATTCTTATATGTTTAAATCATCTCCCAACTTCAACATTTTAAGGGTACAAGGTTAAGTAAAATCCACTTGATTTTCAGTGCCAGGAATATTTTTCAGTTGCAGTTTCGATCCTCCTCCAGTGAAGTCATTACTGATGACTTGTGTCTAGTCATATGTTTGTCATAGAGACACACAACACATGTGGCAATTGCTGCAAACTGTAAATAGTGCTTTTCATAGAGATACACTCACTTATGTTTGAACTACTATTCAACACTGATATATTCACCATTTGAAAGAGTAAATAAATAAGGCACAGGAAACACATGTTTAACCCCTAAAGCAATTCGTAGTGCTTTAGGGGATGGTAGTGTTTTGTTTTTTTTGTTTGTTTTTTTACTAAATGTTGCAATCAGTACATATAACATTTTCTGAATATCAGTGTCACCAAATTGAATTTCACAACAGACAGATGTATTTGATGGTGCATAATGATAGTTTTTTATGAATGCATTGTGCTTATTAGTTAAAACAAATTATTTTTTTTTATTTTTTTTTACGGTGTTTTATAGTTGGTGACCCATAATAGTCACTTTTTCTGTACTCTGTTTTTAAAGCACAACTTCTATCTCTAATCAACTGCTATATTATATCTGAGTGCTTAGAGCTTTCTTCTTTTTTTTTTTTTTGCAACTCCGGCCAAGTTAAGTAAAATGTGACACTTAAACACATTGCTGAGAAACATATTTTAAATTGCTATCCTATGGCATGCAGAATTCAAAGGCTGCGGCTAGCAAATTGCTTCATTTTAGATAAACTGTAGGAAAATGTAGACTGGCGCGTGAGGGAGCAGTAATCTTTCTACGTGTCTTGCTCTGCTCCTTCGCATGGTGTTTAGTAATACTGGGTGCTGGAATATGAGGTCACTGTGGCCCCGACATCACTAAACCGTGCGTGAGGGAGCAGAGCAAGAATTGCAGGAACATTACAGGATCACAGAAGCTGCGCTGGACACCAGGGAAAGGTTCCACTCCAGCTCTCCCAAAGGTAGGGAGTCTAGGTGTGCTTAAAATAAATAAAATTTGTGAGTGTATGAGAAAATGTGAAAGTGTGTCTGACAGTCACTAGAGTTGTTACTAGGCAGCATTATAAACAGTGCCTTGTCTCTGAAAAGGCAGTGTATACATTGAAAAGCATGCGGGGGACAGTATATAGACACTAGAACCACTACATTAAGCATGTAGTAGTTCTTCTGAATATATTTTAACTCTCCCCTCAAGTATGATGGATTTTTTTTCTCCCATGTCTGCTAATTTTATAACCAAATCCTACGCAATCTAAATTAAAGTATATTTTAATCAAGGAGTGATGTTTTCATGGTGTTTGTAATTATATGAATTTCAAGTGCACAGAAACCCTAAAGCATTATAGACACATAATAACAAGGTCCTCTTGTATTTTATTTTTTACCTTGCAATTTTCATAAGGTTTCTGTTGTGTAAATTCAAAAGAATTGGCTTCTGAAAGTAACACTAAAGCGCTAGGAATACAAACCTATATTACTAATGCTTAAGTGTCCCTGTCCCTAGTTATACAGCCTTCCCATTTTTTTTCAGTAAATAAAATAAAAATAAAGATATTTTTACTTACTTTTTCAAGATGACAGCCACTAGAGGTGGATTTAACCCTGCAATTTTGTAAACATTGTTTCTGGGCTGGGCTGGCACACGGCTCATGGAACAGCTGAGGGATGAAGGCGGGCGGTTTACTGACTGCGGAGGGAGCTGTATTCTTCCAGCTCTTCTCCCTAGCAGGCGCACTTCGCAGTGATGCCTGGAGCCAGAATATCACATGATTCTGGCCCCTGCTCACTAAACAGCATGCAAGGGCTGAGCAGGGAGACTATCAGGCTGCCCCACTGGATCTCCAGTATTTACTTCAGCTCTCCCAAAAGGTAGGGAGGCTGGGTGGGCAAATTTATATCAAGTAAATTTATAACTTGTGTGTGTTTAAGTGCTCTGCCCCTCTTCAATCACATGGGAAAGGTATTGCTATGGAGATACCGAATGTAGAAAGCGCCTCTACAGGCCGCTTGAGTGACTGCCACTAGAGGTTTTACTAGGCAGCAATGTCAACATTGTCTTTAGTCTGACAATATAGGTTTTGCATTGACAAGCATGTACAGACAAGCTATAGCCTTAGAACAACTACATTAAGCTGTAGTGGTCCTAGTGACTATAGTGTCCCTTTAAGTTTGTATTTTTGACATTGGAAAACTTGGCTCCTATCTTTTTTTTTTTTTGCCTGCTCCTATATTCCAAGAAAATTTGTCAAGCCCTGCTTTAGTGGTCTTTTAAACTCTGCAGTAAATCTGCTGTGGTTAACATTTAGCATTCTGCAAAATGGGCAGATAATGGCAGAAAGCTATTGATTGGCACCGTGTATTCATTGTCTTTGACTTGGCAACAATGTTTTGCACAACTTATAGAATATGTAGTCCCTTTTCTTTTTTTCTGAAAGTCTCATATAGTTCTTTGCTGTAGTCTAGGTTTGATTTTAAAAAAACCTATATTAATTTTGACAAAAACGCTGTATGATCGCATACTGTGTGTTTATTGTATTCCTTTTCTAATTTTAGCAATGATCTTTGTGGTTACACATTATTTTTGTAAGGGCCAGATCAGACACGAGACCATGTGGAATTAAACCTTTTAGTTCATTTCTGTATGGGAAGATCTATTTTGGTAAATCAGTGCTGGAAATGTTAAATGAACAGAGGTCAGACTATGAAACCGGATCTGCCGTTAGTAAGACTTACTTTTGGTTATGAATAGAAGATCCAGTATGTTTTTATTTTTTAATTTTTTTTTTTTTAAAAATTTTTTTGTGCATTTTGGAAAATATTTTAGTACTATCTGTGTTACCCAAAGCTTGCATTACACCCCCCAGACTTTAATGAACTATAACATCTGTGATTCTCTGCCCATCTGTATTCAGCGAATTTGTAAACTTTGTAGGCAATTAACATCTGAGGGACCAGTGTCTGAGATACCTGTTGTAAGGAATTCAGGTTTCTATCAGTTAAAGGGACACTATAGTCACCTGAACAACTTTAGCTTAATGAAGCAGTTTTGGTGTATAGAACATGCCCCTGCAGCCTCACTGCTCAATCCTCTGCCATTTAGGAGTTAAATCCCTTTTGTTTATGAACCCTAGTCACACCTCCCTGCATGTGACTTGCACAGCCTTCCGTAAATACTTCCTGTAAAGAGAGCCCTATTTAGGCTTTCTTTATTGCAAGTTCTGTTTAATTAAGATTTTCTTATCCCTTGCAAGTGCTTCCTGTATGTGATTAAAGTTCAATTTAGAGATTGAGATACAATTATTTAAAGGACCACTATAGTGCCAGGAAAACATACTCGTTTTCCTGGCACTATAGTGCCCTGAGAGTGCCCCCACCCGCCTGGCTCTGGAAAGAGGAAAGGGGTAAAAACTTACCTTTTTCCAGCGCTGGGCGGAGAGCTCTCCTCCGATCCTCCTTCTCTCCTCCCCGTCGGCTGAATGCGCACGCGCGGCAAGAGCTGCGCGCGCATTCAGCCGGTCACATAGGAAAGCATTCATAATTCATAGCAGTTCTAGTGGCTGTCAATGAGACAGCACTAGAGGAAATAGGGGAAGGCTTAACCCATTCATAAACATAGCAGTTTCTCTGAAACTGCTATGTTTATGAAAAAATGGGTTAACCCTAGAAGGACCTGGCACCCAGACCACTTCATTAAGCTGAAGTGGTCTGGGTGCCTAGAGTGGTCCTTTAAGGTAAATTACATCTGTTTGAAAGTGAAACCAGTTTTGTTTTCATGCAGGCTCTGTCAATCATACCAGGGGAGGTGTGGCTTGGGCTGCATAAACAGAAACAAAGTGATTTAACTCCTAAATGACAGTGAATTGAGCAGTGAAATTGCAGGGGAATGGTCTATACACTAAAACTGCTTTATTTAGCTAAAGTAATTTAGGTGACTATGGTGTTCCTTTAAGCTAATCAAAATGCTTTGGTCCAGTATGAGAACAGTAGTCTGTTCTCTTCCTAGGGAAATGTTTTTCAATCTCTAAGAAGACAAAATACATTAATAATTCTAGGTCCCATCTTGTAGCATTTGTGGTAGCTATGCATTCAAATGATGTTTGGTGGACAGTTTTAAAATAGTTTGACAGAAAGCAATGCACTACTCTTTGTCTGTTATTCTGGTTATTATTAGTCTGTTATTATTGATAATTCTAACACCTGAGTAGCTGGCAGGTGTAGTGAATGAGGCTGCAAACTCTATCTCCTGATATATATTAGCTGAAATAATGGTTTTCCTTTTTTTTTCAGCTTCCTTTTTTACATGCATTACTTTTGTAATCTGGATATTACATTTATTTTTGAAATAATAAAAAAAAAAGGCAAAATATATATATATATATATATATATATATATATATATATATATATATATATATATATATATTTTTTATTTTTTTTTTAATTCTTTATTTTTCGCTCTGACAGTGAAGCATTGTTACAATAGTGCAGACATAGGTGGATAAATGACTGTACAAGTTTTGTTTGTATGTAGTACAAAATACAGATTAGCATAGTTAGTACAGGCGTCCGTTACATACTGTGCACTTTGGGTGCGTTGCCGCCAGAGTTTTTCTTTTGTGTTGGCAAGCAGAAAAAAGAAATAACTATGTACAGTGGTAGAGTTGTTGAGGAGTGTGCTGTCATGAACTCTCAGGTTGGCTTTGATGAGTGTGTCGTGTTGTCGTGGCCCAGGCGTATGTGTGGGGTATTCTGATCTTGCCCAGGTAGGTCAGGCATTGTGCCCTCCCTGTCTGCTCTGTCCATGCCACCCCCTGTGTGCTGTCATTCCGTTATGCGCGGAATCAGGCAGAGTCTGATAGTGTTGGAGCTTTTCTCTCCTCCTGTTTGTTTACATGGTCTGGTGTGCTTGCAAGAGATAAAAACATACAAGGAAAGAGTAGATAGAGATAGACAAGTAGAGATTGCAGTGTATTAAAGTACGGAGATGAGGTGATCTCCTGGGGGCCGTGAACCCTGTGCCGCCCGTCCCAGTGGGCTGCGGCCTTTGTTCCGGCTTTAACCAGGTACCCGTTCTGCAGTGGAGCCGCTTCCACCCGTCCGGGTTATGGTATGATGGCGACCGTTGGGTGAGCCCCAGTTGTCGCCACTGAAATGTACTGCATGGATGCCGCCATGAGTCTATGTGTCGTATTGCTCCCATGGACCCCACACCTTGTGGAATGTGGTCAATGTGTTCCGCACTTGGGCCGTGAGTTTATCCATCAGATAATTATCGCGTAGTTTTGTCCTGACCAGGGATAGCTGTGGGAGGTCCGGGCATGACCAGTGTTGTGCTACGGCCCTACGGGCCGCTAGGTAGATCATGTTAAGGAGTTTTTGTTCGTGTCTTGGGAGGCCCTCCGTGGGTCTAGATAAAAGGCACACCCATGGATCTAGTGTCATCCGTTTTCGTAAGATTTGGGAGCTGAAGTTTACTATGCTGCGCCAGTAGGTCGCCACCTTTGGGCATTCCTACCACATGTGTATGTAGGTGCCCTTCCCCCCGCATAAGTGCCAGCAATCATCTGTAGGACACAATTTCATGTGTTTTTGTTTCACTGGAGTCATGTACCAACGGAATAGTGTTTTATAAGATTGTTCTTGGAGTGTTACGCATACGGTGGTTTTGGTGCATGCCTCCCAAATGTCTTGCCACTCCGTTCCCTCCAGTGCCTCCCCCAGGTCGGCTTCCCACTGGTCAGCCGATCGGAGTGCGCCCGTCGTGTCTGGGGTCGTATTAAGGTGGTTGTATAGTAATGTAATTAGCTTGGATTGTGTAGTCTCCGTATAGCATAGTCTCTCGAAAAAGGTTAGTGGTGTCAGGGCTGCCTTTTTTACGTCAGGTCTCTGTGCAAAGTCTCGGATTTGCAGGTACCTGAAATAATCTCTAGTTTGCAGTTTGGCTTTGGTGTTCAGGTGTGCGTATGTGACTATTTCCTGGTTTATGAATAGGTGGACGTATCTTTGGAGCCCTGTGGCTATCCCTTTGTAGTCCTGGGCCCTCATTCCCGGTGGGAATGCCCTATTCTGAAAGACCAGTGCCATGGGAGACGGGGGGGGGGGGCTTAGTGAGTAATTTCGTTTTAGTTTGGTCCCATATCCTTATGGAGTTCAGTATGGCCAGGTTTGTGGTTCTCAGCATGGCCCTTTGTGTTTTCGGTGCCCATATGAAGAATTGTGGGAGGTCCTGTCATTAGGGACTCCATGTCGACCCAGCGTCGTGCATCAGGAGGTGTGTGCCATTGTATGATCTGGGCTAGCTGTGCCGCTAGGTAATAATTATATACATTAGGTAGTCCCAGTCCCCCCCTGGGTTTTGGTCTGTACATGAGGGTACGTGCCATTCTCGGGCGTTTGTTGTGCCAAATGAAGGAGTCGATTGCCCGCTGTATGCCTGTCAGGTCCCCCCGGGAAACTTGCAACGGGAGTGCCTGAAAGAGGAACAGGAGCCTCGGCAGCACATTCATTTTTATTGTGTTGACTCGTCCCAGCCAGGATATGGGCCTATGTGTCCACTGCTCCATTTCCGTAATCAGGGTCCGGATCTGTGGTTTGTAATTACGGGCATAGAGCGACGATGTGGTTGCCGTTAGGCGGACCCCTAGGTACATGAATTCCCCTGTGGTTATTTTTAAGCGATATTGTTTGCGTATGTGCGCTATGTCTTGGGGCTGTATATGGAAGGGCATTGCTACTGACTTGGAGTAGTTGATTTTGTAGCCTGCGATGTTCCCAAATCTGTCCAGTAGTTGTGTCAGGTGGTGCAGGGAGTCCAGTGGGTCCCGGAGTGTTAGCATGACATCGTCGGCATATGCCGAGACTGTGAATGGTGTGCCGCCTATCTCTATTCCCTGAATGTGTGGGTGTTGCCTGATGGCTTGTAAGAACGGCTCCAGGGTTAGGGCGAAGAGCAAAGGGGACAATGGGCAGCCCTGTCTGGTGCCATTGCTTAGGGTGAATGGCTGTTTGTGCGCCCCTGTTATAAGTGTTTGTGCCCTCAGGTCTGTATAGAATGCGTGTATTGCTGTCACAAATGGTTCCGGGAACCCCTGGAACCGGAGCAGCTCAAAGAGGTAAGGCCATAGCACCCTGTCGAAAGCCTTCTCCGCATCTAAACAGAGTGCTAGAGAAGGCGCTTTGGTCTCCGCCATGTACCACAGGACTTCTACCCCCCGTCTGGTGTTCTCTTATAGTTGGCGTCCGGGCATAAAGCCCGCCTGGTCCGGGTGGATCAGGCGCGGGAGTAGGGAGGAGAGTCTGGATGCCAGTATTTTAGCAAATACCTTGAGGTCTGTATTGATAAGTGATATTGGCCTGTAGCTAGAGGCTAGTGTGTCATCCTTATCTGGTTTTGGCAGTAGTACTACATTTGCCGTCGCCATGTCCCCGTCGGGCACCCCGCCTTGCATAAAGTGGTTACTAAGGGCTGTAAGGGGAGGGGCCAGTATCTCTTTGAATTGTTTGTAGTAGTTAACATCGTATCCGTCTGGACCTGGGGCCTTGTTTCCCTTAAGTGAGGCTATGGCTGATTCCACCTCGATTTGGGTGATCGGTTCACTTAGGAAGCCTGCTTCTGCCTCGCTCACTTTGTGCAGTGTACGTTCTGCAAGAAATTGTTGTATGTCCGCCACGTAGGTGGTGTTATTGGCGTGAAGGCGGGGGGAGTGATTGTAGAGGTTGGAGAAATAGGAGGTGAATACCTCGTTAATGGCCTCTGGGGTCTATACTAGTGTATTGGTGACCGTGCGTATTTTCGTGATGGTTTTGCCCTGTGGTCTCGGGCGGAGAACCCTGGCTAAAGGTGTGTCTGTTTTATTTGCTTTCTCGTAGTAGTCTTTTTGACCATTGTATGGAGCGTGACACCGCCTCCAGGGATATGTCCCTGATGGAGTGTCTGAGTGCGTTTAGTTCTCTAAGTTTGGATTCAGCCTGGTTGGTTTTGTGTTGCTGCTCTGCCTTACGTAGGCCTGACTGTAGTTCGAGTAGCCTTTTTGTTTTAGCTTGCTTTTTATGCGTTGCAATTTTAATAAAGTGCCCCCGCAGGACTGCTTTGTGTGCTGCCCAGACCGTGGTGGGGTTAGCGTCGGGTGTTGCGTTTAGCGCAAAATATTCTGTGATAGCCTGTCGGGTAGTTTCTAGTGTTTCGTCGTCTCTGAGAAGACTAGTATTAAGTTTCCACGACCAGTTGGACTGGTATCGCAGGTTGCCTAGGGTAAGCGTTACGTCAGCGTGATCTGACCATGTGATGCTACTGATGTCTGTGTGTAGGGCCTTATCCATCCCCACCCTGTTAAGGAAAATGTTATCTATTCTGGAGTAGGTGTTGTGCGGTGCGGAATAAACCCCTCCGGGTCAGTCTGGGTGGTAGTTATTTGTAGCGGGCAGTTTTTATGGGGATCGCCACCCCCGTTCGCTTACGGAGGGAGCGTGCCTCATGTACTGTCGAGTAGGTCCTGTCAGGCAATCTAGTGGGCGCCGACCTGGGGAGGTGCGTCTCCTGTATCAGTGCGATATCTATTTTCTTGGTCTTTAAGTCTCTCGCTAGTGATCTCCGTTTGTTTGGGGAAGTTAGGCCTTTGACGTTAAACGATAGTACCTTAAGAGCCATGTGGAGGTGTTGGCTGTGTTGCTGGTGTTACCGGTGCTCTGGGTATCCTGGGTCTTTTGTGCGCACTGTGTGTGGGGCCTTGCGTGAGGGCTACCCTCGGTGACGCGGGCGGCATCCAGACGGTGTAACGGAGTTGGAGATCAGTACTTGTCATTAGAAAGAGTGAGAAAAAAGGAAAATGAGTAACAAGTAACGGTTTCAATGTACATACAAATAAACATGAAAAATAAACATAAGGTGATAATCTGGTCTTAACCTGTGCCAGGTTAGGGTGGGGGTGGTCACCCCTCCCGAGTGATGTGAGAGTGCACCTCTCGGGGTTGGTGATCTCCCAGCGCCCTTCCACTGTGATGTTGTATACAACCAGCGGCCGCATAACTTTTACAGTCTGGTTTGTCCCATTTAAAGAGAGGTGGTCTTCCCTTTGTCCCTCCTTGCACAGTGCGTGCGCCCCACTCTCTCGCTGTGAGCTTGCACAGTGTGTGCGCCCCACTCTCTCGCTGTGAGCTAATTTTGTCCTCCCTATCGTCGTCTGTGTGGGAGCCTTCCCCTCCTGCTATGCTTAGTGGCTGTGTTCCGTCCCCCTCCTACTAGACCCACTCCCTCCTCCCCTCTCCCGCCTTTCTGCCAAGTGTGCTAACCCATGTTCTTGCCCTTTGATGGGCGCGTTATCTGTGTTGTGTTTTTTTGTTTGTTTGTTTGTTTGTTATTTGGTGTGTTGTAGCCCCCAGGGGTTGCTCTAAGTCTTGATGGTTTCATCTGCTTGTCCCCAGTACTAAGGCAGCATAGTGTGTCATCTAGCCCCCCTCCCCTCCCCCACCAGGGCAGTTTGTGATCCCCCTGAATACTCAATTGTCTGGTGTGGTGTCCCCCTCAAATCAACTTAGCTGTCCCGTGCATCTGTCGTGCCGCCAGAGTCACTGTGGGTGCCCCTTTTGGGCTGAGTAGGTCTGCGTGGTGCCTTAGTCCTCCTGGGCAGCCGTTGCTGCGACTGTGTACCTGTCTCTTGGGAGAGGTGTTAGGGTCCGCCGAGCGGGTCCTGGTAAGGCGAAAGCTCTCGGGGGTGTGATATCCAGGTCATGGAGACATTTTTGTGGGTCCCCTCCAGGTGAGTATGTGAGTGTCCTTCCCGCTTTGAAAGCCACAATTTTAAACGGGTGGCCCCATGTGAAGCGGATTTCGTGTTGTCGCAGAAGATCCGTCAGCGGTCTCCATTCCCGCCGTCTTTGAAGTGTGCTAGATCTTGATAGAGAGAGATGGGCTTGCCTTTGTATGTTAAATCGTGATTTCTGTTGTACCTCAGAATAGCCTCCTTGGTGGTATAGTGGTGAAAGCAAATGATTATATCTCTTGGGGTGTCCGTGTCCACCCGCCGGGCATGCAGAGCCCTGTGTGCCCGGTCCATGGCCCACTGGGCTTTTGGGATGTCTGGGAGTAGGCCGCTAAAGTATACCTCCACTAGTGCTGTGAGAGGGCCTTCATTAGGTGTTTCAGGCCACTCTCTGATGCGGAGGTTATTCCGCCTGGTGCGGTTAGACAGGTCTTCAACCTGCATTTCCAGGTCAATAATGTGGTGGTCTAGGGAGGTGAAGTGCTGTACCACTTCATTATGGCCCTGTACCAGTACCTCCATTCTCTGCTCCAGCTCTGAAGTGCGGACACCCAAGGCCTGGATTTCGACCTTTATGTCTTGCGTGCTGCGTGTGATTTCACCCGCCAGGTATGTCTTTACTTCTGCTAACCTTTGCAGAATTTGTGCCGTGCTGCCGCCGCCCGGCTCCGTCTCTTCCCCGTCAGGTGGGGATTGAGAGCCATGTCGGCCACTGAGGGGGAGAAATCGAGCGGTTCCCCACGTTTCTTCCGGCGTGGGGTGGCTCCGGTGCCCATGTGGGACATGTATAGGGGAAATGCAGGCTGTGATGCTGGTTACTGGTGCTGGATTGAGCGTGGATGCGCGGGAGCTCGCTCGTTAGGCTGCCATTCTAGTCAGCTGCCAGGCCACGCCCCCCTCAGGCAAAATATATTTTATGTAGAAACATGTATTTCTATACATTTTCTATGATTACAATATATACATTATTTACAGTGTTATGTACAGACAGGATGACCTCATTGATTGTAATGTGACGACCGCCTATTCTGATTGTGTAGAGCTTGTGTGTTTTTTTTTTTGTTTGTTTTTTTTCTTTTTTGTTGATGGTGAGCTTGCCAACATGTGGTCACTAGCTTCACACTTTGGGAGTATGTTGGAGATTCATGAAAGTTACTAATAAACTGTGTGTGTGTGTGTGTGTGTGTGTGTGTAAACACACATCCTAAATGTTCATTTATGCATTACAGTATATAGATCATTTGTTTAAAAAATTGAGCACAGAAGTGAAATAATAAAGGTGTATACGTTCAATGTTGCAATTGCACAGTTTGGTGGGTCTGCCTGTAGCTACTAGCAGACTCCTACCTAACCAGAAGTCGTTTTTTTTTTTGTTTTTGTTTTTTTTTTCTCTATAAATGTGGGAGTAGTTTATTACACCAGAACAGTTTCAATTATTATATTATATATCAGTGATGGCTAACCTTGACACCATAAATAGTTTCTGGGGATTGGCTTCCATATTAAAGGAGATTGTACATATGGAGGCTCTAAATAAATATATATATATATATATATATATATATATATATATATATATATATATATATATATATATATATATATATATATATATATATATATATAATATATAATATATCAGGCTGTGAATTTAAGCTGAATGCTAATCACATGCTACTCACTACATAGAATGAGCTGGACTATTTATAAGCTGGTAACCGTTACACCAGCAGATAAGAGCTGAATTTCTTAAACAGTTAGTTTAATTGAAATAAAGCCTCTTTTATTCCCCTCATGTTTTATTGCTCAGGAACGCCACGTGTCAGTACTTGCATAAGCTATTTTGTCTTGGGTATGATCTGTCATCATGCATATTCATCATTATATATAAAGTTTGGGTTAAGAAGGTTGTATACTGGTCCATTATCACATATGCGATTCACTTCATTTTGTATTAACGGGGTTTCCCATACTTATTTCTGTATGCTTATTTTACAGGTTCAGGTTGGCTTATATCACCTGCGTTTGCTCAATCAAACCTCTTATATCCCTTTCCAGTGAGTAAGGTGGAAGCGTAAGGGGTTTTTATTCTTAACATATAAGGGGGAGTACCTCGTTACTCTTTATCACATATACTCCTCTTTCTGCTATCATTAGGTCTAAACCTCTCCTTCCACTATAGTTGTGGTGGAAGTCTCAGGTTCTGTGTTAAGTTGTGAACAATTTTCTGACCTAACCAAGACGCAAGTAGGTGTCAGTTATGTTTTTGCTTAACCCCAACCTCCCCCCTCCCTAAGGTTATGAGTTGAGTGTTACTGGCTCATCAAGGTTAGTCTGCCACCAGTATAGAATTTTCTGGCTTCTTCGCCTCAGTCACAGTGGTCTCGCGAGGCCACCCCTTTCCTCCACGCATGAGGACATTACCCCCCCCTCAGACGAAATTCATTGAAATTCATTCATGCCCTGGGGGCCATTCATAGTTGTCCGCCTCGCACGGTTGCATAGAGAGGGCCTCCCTTGTCACTCCCTTCCTATCTTATGCTTTTAGTTGTCACTGAGAGGCCAACACCCTGCCACATCATTCGGTGGCAACATATTCCCTCACTCAAAGCCATTTGGCATCTAGTAGGGCCTCACCTGTCACCACACCTAGCAAATTATTTCGCCACTTGGTACTAGATAGCCAGCCGTTAACCCATATGGTGCAGTGGCTGATTATGTTTTGAATATTTTTCTTTTAGTATGTCTCAGCTACCTGACGTGGCAGACAATTTGTCTCTCCCCAGTACTCTGGTCGGGTCCTTGTCACCTTCCCGAAAAGGCGACATCGGTAGCCCTACTTCTATACAATCATGGACCATCCCTCGTATTACTGCGGAGCTTCGTAGACGCAGTATCCCTTTTCCTGCTACTGCCAGAAAAGCTGAACTGTTAAAATTAATGCGAACAAACACCGACAACACAGGGGCGGGAGAAGGGACAAGTGGTCCAGGCAACTCAGACCTTCGTGCCATGGTTGCCTCGCTAGTAGCATCTACAGAGACTTGATAGGATCGAGGCTTAGAGCCTTCCTATTGTGTCAACTATGACCTCAGCTACTGTACTCCCCGATGCAACTAGGGTTGTCAGGATAGAACATGTACATGTGAAGTTGGATGCCGGTTAAATATAATTTAATAGTGTTGTGTGATAGTTTGAGTTTGAGATGACAAAAAGGATGCAAAAGCTACCAGTGTAGATATAGTGAAAAACTGAACCAGGTTATGTTCTAACATAAATTTCTTATACAGTGTGAAAGCTCTATTGTAAGACAAAGAATATAAAATGTATAGTTTAAAAAAACATATACCCAGGGGGCGCCACAATCACAAAACGTGCATATATTTACCATATGTATATGGAGATGGACATGAAAGAGAGAATAAAAAGCATATATAGTGAAATATTTAATAACAACAAAGTGCAGAATAAAAGTCCGGACAAAACGTGTTGAGCAGAGGCTTGCCAGCACTTCCCTGAAAAAGACTTCACCCTCTCTCTGCCTGGGACTTTCCATCTAGGAGGCATTGACAGTGGACTTATAAAAGGGAACTTTACCCAGAAGTGTTGAAAAGCGTTTTTGCACAAATTGAGATGTCTTTGTGCCATCATTTTTGTGAGTGTATATTGTGATTTTTATTCTGCACTTTGTTGTTTATTAAATACTTCACTATATATGCTTTTTATTCTCTCTTTCATGTCCATCTCCATATACATATGGTAAATATATGCACTTTTTGTGATTGTGGCACCCCCTGGGTATATGTTTTTTTTAAACTATACATTTTATATTCTTTGTCTTACAATAGAGCTTTCACACTGTATAAGAAATTTATGTTAGAACATAACCTGGTTCAGTTTTTCACTATATCTACACTGGTAGCTTTTGCATCCTTTTTGTCATCTCAAACTCAAACTATCACACAACACTATTAAATTATATTTAACCGGCATCCAACTTCACATGTACATGTTCTATCCTGACAACCCTAGTTTATCTTCTTACCCCTTTAAGAATATACTAAAAGGCATACAGAAAGCCGGTACCACTCCTCCAATCCTAAGGTTACCCATACATAAACTGATATTTAAGGATATGTTTTGACTTATTGGATACAGCCCCGTTTGAACACACTACAAATCTGGTAATCAAAACAGCCACTTACTTGGCCTATTATGGTTTTCTTAGACTATGCGAATTCACTATGCATAGTAACAAATATGCACGAGACTGCCTTAAACGTTCCTATCTCATCAAACGACAAGATTACTATATCTTATCCGTACCCATTACAAAGACAAGTCAGCTTGGTAAAGTGGTTCACGTCACTTATTAATTTACTTTAAATAAAAGGTGCCCGGTAAAAGTGCTGGATACATATCTCCAAACATTACCACCTCAGTCAGATATCCCTCTGCTAGTCCTCCACAAAGCAGTCTTAACAACCTCTAAGTAAATGCAATATGTACGCATATTACTGACCAGACTAGGTCTGAACGCCAGCAACTTTTCTGGACATTCTTTTAGGATAGGGGCAGCCTCCACGGCCTCTAGTCACGATATTCCAGTACATGTAATGGAAGTCATCTGCATTTGCTCTGTACATACCTCAACCTGTGTTAGAAATGAGGTCTGCATTTGTTAAACTGTCATCTTGAGGTATTTTCTTTGCACTATGTTTTATGTATTGAATAAATATTTCTTTGGCAAGACACTGCTAATTTTTGCTCACTTTATTACAGGCCTACCGCATACGTCGGTTTTTGCATACTTCAACCGATTTGTTCCTATCTATATAATACATAAAACCATACCACACGCTAACGTTAAAAGAATAGCACCGAACACAAATGTAAAGGCATTGCCTGGAGTTGTGGGAGGGGCTTGTTGATCCTCCTTAAGGCACTTCCCCCATATCTGCATCACCGTGGAAATCAGACGTTCGTCAGGCCCCACCCACCACTCACTCAACTTTTTTACTTTATTTTAAATTTTATTTTATGTTCAGTGTGGGCCCACTTTATTATCGGCCTACCGCATACGCCGGTTTCGGCACACTTCAACCAACTTGTTCCTATCTATATAATACATCAAACAATACACACACTAATGTTACAAAAATAGCACCGAACACAAATATATATATATATATATATATATATATATATATATATATATATATATATATATATATATATATATATATATATATATATATATATAATATATTGTATGAGTGGAAATGCTTTATATATTGATAACAGCCATATTGTTTATGCTCTCATTTTGCCCATCTTCTTGATCAGTGCACATAGTCCAGTTTACTAATCAGCAGATCTGTTGTCTCTCAGTACAAGTTTTGTATGCAGAGTGGACAAATACATGCAACCAGGAACTGACTTTTTGCAGATACCTGATTGACAGCTTTGTTGTGCTGTGTTGCAACTACAACAATATATCTATGTATTTTAGCATGCTGCTGCAGTTCAATGCCTCTCTAACAGCTGATAGTGATTTTCGCACTATCACCTTTGAAATTATGCAGAGGTGCTTATAGTTAGAATATTTAAATCAGCCCAAGCTGATTACATCAACAGTTGTTTATATTGTTCAAACCTGTAACCTAACTGGTTCATCATTTATAGAGTTTGGTACTAAGCTTCTGGCATGTAATATTCTTCATAAATTAGGTGTGATAGGATGTGGTTATGTTATCAAAAGTTGAATTTTTAGGATTGTGTATTCCAAAATAATTTTTTTTTTTTTTTTTTTATTTGCAGGTTGCAATTCTTCATTTTCTCAGCTACTTGCTTCACTCAGCCATTTAACTCCTTGCTTCCTCTCTCTGTGGTACTGGGGAAGGCGTCTGGCCTTCCCCATTGTATAAGTTCCTTAAACAGACCAGATATGGCGGATCCAATCATGGATTTATTTGATGATCCAAATCTATTTGGATTGGACTCTTTAACAGCAGATTCTTTTAGTCGAGATGGGCCGGACACAATGGATGAAGCGTTGGGCCTTGGCAGTGTTCTGGGGCCTTTAGAGCAGCTTACAACAGACAGAACAGATCCTAGTATATTGCCCAGTACTGATTTAGGTGTGCATCGAACAGATCCACCAGTTCTTCAAGATGCTCCTACTTCAGTTTCCACAGCAGAACCAGTTCTATCCTCTCAGGTGACCACAAATCCAGAACCTCTAAGCCAAGGGAACCCTTTTATGGGTACTTCAAGTGCTGGAACAGGGGCCCCAAAAATTATGATCCTGAAAGCACCTGCAGGAATGACTGTGAGTGGTTGCCCTGTTACACAGATACAGACTCTGACTCCTGGCCAAGCAGGTAATGGTGGCAAAGTGACCTTTGCCAAGGTGCTGACTGGGACTCCTTTGCGACCTGGAATGTCTATTGTATCTGGGAACACTGTGCTTGCTAAAATCCCAAACCAAGCGATTGGTGGACAAGCAGGTGGAGTCAGACCTATTCGCCAATTGCTGCTTCAACCTATGCGGACTACAACAACCACTGGAACAGCTGATGTTAGCACAGGTGTGAAACCTGGAGTGACTTTGACCTCAGCACCTCAACAGGTAACAGTATACTTTACTGTCTAACAAAATAACTTAAATGGCCCAATATAAATGTTACTTGATGCTTCTTTGCCCTTTTCTTTCTTTTTAATGGCAATATTCTATGTGTATAGTGGATAGACAAGGTTTTTCACCTTTTAATACAAGCAATAATTTCTGTTCAAATGAAACCATGCTGTCTGTAAAAGTGAATTTCATTTTCTTCTCTAATAAATAATGCATTTCTTTTAGGCTTGATATGTTAAAGGTCTCAGTCAAACCATACATTTGTTATTAGTGAGAATTTCATGTAAAGGTGTAATAACACTTTTGTGTGTTAATCTAACTTCTCTCTTTAATATTCCTTCTTTCCCACAGGGTGAGTCAAAGCGAATTACACTGGTGTTGCAGCAGCAGCCAGCCCAGGCAGGTTCAGGAGTGCAACAGGGGCAACGTCATGTTTTGCTAGGTGGGCTCCCAGGAAAGATTGTCCTGCAAGGAAACCAGTTAGCAGCATTGACTCAAGCTAAAACTCCTCAAGGACAGCCTGCCAAAATGGTGACTATTCAGCTACAGGTGCAGCAGCAGCCAGGGGTTGCAGGCCAGGCACCTCAGAAGTTCCAGATTTTGCAACAAGGACCAGGAGGTCTGACTATTGCACCAGCTGGGCAGCAAACACATGTTTTGAGTCAGCAAGGCGCACAAAGGGTTTCTGTCCCTCTCAAAGTTGTTTTGCAACCACAGGTAGGAAATGTCTATGGACTGGTAATAACATATTTGTTCCCACTTGTGTTGTCGGTTTGCACATTTTTTATAAAAATGTTATTTCATTATTTTACCATATTCTTAGGTGGGCTTTTTTCCAGTTACTACAAATTTGCCTATATATAGTGCCCTGAATTATTTGTGAATTACTTTCTTTTACTTACAGGCTGGCTCATCACAGGGAACCACACAAGGATTGTCAGTTGTAAAAGTCTTAAATGCAAGTGAGGTTGCAAATTTCACTGCTGGTCAAACTTTGGTCAAAGTTGGAACATGTACAGGTATGTTGACAATAGCAGACTTTTGAAACCCTTCGTGCAATTTTATGTTTTCCGTTGTTCATCTGTGCGACCTAACATCATTATATCTCGATTAATATGTAATTTCTGTGTGTGTGATGGGTCATAGCACTAATGTTTCTGTTTTTTGCCACTGCTTTTTCATTCTTCTTGGCTTCATCATCTTGTGCATGCGATAAGCTATGTCTGGAAAGCATTCTACTCAGTTTGTCAAGTCAGTGCGGAGTTAGAATATTTGATTGACATGTTAATGGCAGGAATCCCTTTAACAATTTCCTCTTTCTAGCTGTCCCTGTATTTGAATAATATTGTTGGTTACAGGTGGTGAATCCCGTAAGCTGGACCATCAGAAGAAGCAGGAGAAAGCGAATCGTATTGTGGCTGAGGCAATTGCCAGGGCTCGAGCCCGTGGTGAGCAGAATATCCCCCGTGTATTGAATGAGGATGAGCTGCCACGTGTCAACCCGGAAGATGATGATGGGAGCAGTAGGAAGAAAAAGAAGAAGAGGAGTGAACCGGGGGAGAGGTCTAGCAGTGAAAAAAACAAAAAGAAACCAGGGAGTGGAAGCTCAAGATCAAGAAGTAAAGCTAAAGCCAGGTGAAAATAGTTTCCAGACCAGTACAGTTGTCTTATTAATTCATAATGCCAATAAGTGAAAAATGATTTCTATAAATTGATAGAGGTGAAAGTAGAGATGTTTATTAAAATACATGTAAAATTAAAATGTTGATTTGCATCCAGTACAATTACCCCTATTGTTGGGAAGAAGAGGAAGCGAAACCCATCTTCTGATAATTCTGATGCCGAGTTGGTCCCATCTCAGGCTTCTGCTGCAGAAGAAGAGGATAGTGTTCAGGTATGGCTATAGAAGTTTGTCATGATGTAGAGAGAGTAAACATTAACCATAAGGAAGATAACTAAAATTAATCAAGGTGTTAAATTTCCTTCAAGGAAATGCTGATGTAATGAAAAAGTAACATTACAGAGTAATTTTGTTCAAGTAGATTGGGGATTTGTGAACTGACACCTGACTTTGCAACATGAGTGCCAGAGCACACAAGTTCAGAATATAACCTGAGGGATTTTTTTTTTTTTTTCAGTTCTGTTTTATTCCTAACATTTGCAGATTTTGTTTTCCGTTCAGCATTTATTGAATAAACATCAACAATGTATTGTATTGTGTGTTTTCCTAGGTTTTCCTATTTGTATTTAGACGTTATTTAAAAACTTAGCTCATTAATTGTCAGACTAATCCATTTTGATGCATGTAAGAAGGGCAGTGTGTGCTGAGGAAACAAGATATATCTATTAAAAATGTTTATATTTTAGAAAGGTATGTGTTGTTAAATCACCCCATCATAAAGGCTTGTAATATTAAAAATGTGTATGTTCTTCTTCAGAAGAGACGTTCAAATCGCCAAGTCAAAAGGAAGAAGTATACTGAAGACCTGGACATTAAGATAACCGATGATGAAGATGATGAAGAAGTGGATGTTACTGGGATTATCAAAACTGAGCCTGTACTACTACCAGAACCCACACAAATTCCAGACAGTGAAGCAGTACCATCAATGCAATTTTTTGTAGTAAGTGAACTAAGACGTGAATAGTTAAAGGAACTCTCCAACATTAGAAAGCAATTTCTTTTTAACATTGGAGTTTTTTTTTTTTGTGTAACTTCTAGATTGCTGCCGGGCCAATCCAATACTCCTCACAGAGGAGCATTGGTAAGAGGCATGCATGCGCAGCAAGTGCTCTATGCTGAATTGCTTCTATGAGAAGCCCTCACTTCTGCTTCGAGCATTTAGTCAAGATGAATGAGGGAAAGGACAGTGTGTGGTTGACATCCAAAAAATGTCCAATACATAAGAATAGCTGAAAGATTATTGAACAATATCAGAGTATGTGAAAGCGACCTAATTTTTGTCTGCACTAGATATTAAATATTATTAAACAATATTTTGTGTATTTAACCATTCAGGGCAATTAAAATATTTAGAAAAATCAAGAATAGCACTGCATAAGAATGAAGTCCTTATAGAATATTGATAAAGGATTCACAAGAAAATCTCCAGTTGGCGCATTTAATGTAACTTTTTTTTTTTTTTTTTTTTAAGACTGAATATGCTCTACAAAAATTTATATTTTCCACGTGTACAATCACATTAATCAAATTAAATGCACTAATGTTTCATAGGCAAGCTATTCAATAAAGCATGGGAGCTGAAACACTGAAGTAGCCTGTATCAAAAGTGATGTCAGGGCTGCAGTTGCTTAATTACATGAAAGTGAGAAAGAAGCATGCACAGAGGAGTAAGGACCCTTTCAGTTTCCTGAAACCAATAAAAGGAGACTAAAGGGACACTCTGTTAACCCCTAAAGCACTTGAGCTTACATTTATTTATATAAATGTTTTTTCCTTGATTTGCAGGAGAACCCAAGTGAGGAAGATGCTGCAATAGTTGACAAGATCCTGTCAATGCGGTTGGCAAAAAAAGAGGTGCAAAAAAATCTAATTGTGTCTGTTGCTACTACAATACTACCTCCATGTCTTCATTCTCTATGAAACCTTTTTGGCCTGTTAACTGTTCGTTCTAGATGTGTTTCTATTTTAAGTTTCTCTTCATGTCAAATGTACTAGTTTCCTTTTTTGTTCTTCTCATGTCTTCCTTTCTCCTTATGTTTTATAGCTTTCTCCAGGAATTTACATTAATGCTGAAGAATACTTTGTTAAGTATAAAAATTAGTAAGTAAACATTTTGTTGTTTTTATAGTTTCCATTATACAAAGTCAATACATCTTATGTATTTAAAAGCAAATGGTTCTCTGCAATTTCATTTCCCATGCTGAATATTCATATATGCAATTTTTTTTCCCAGCTCCTACTTGCATTGTGAATGGGCCACTATTCAACAGTTGGAAAAGGACAAACGCATACACCAGAAATTGAAACGATTCAAAACTAAAATGGCACAAATGCGACATTTCTTGCCTGAGGATGAGGAGTCATTCAACCCTGATTATGTAGAGGTTGATCGAATTCTCGACGAGTCTCACAGTGTTGACAAGGACAATGGGGAGGTAAGTTGACTTTTGAGACCATCTCTCCCGCATCCGCATATGTAGGTGACGTTTTATCCCTATGAGTCACAATAGTGTCTAATGCACATACTTGGCACTTTAAGGGTTCAAACATACTCTGTCACGTTTCTCCAGCAATAGTGCCGTTACTTACTTTAAATGCAACGAGGAAGTGGCAGGAAATTTGAAATAGATCCTTTATCACTGGTACATTATATAGTCATTGCTTGACATATATTTTTCATATATACCAGTGTTGGGGTGTGTGTGTGTGTGTGTAAGGCTTTTTTATATTTTTGGATTAATGTTTTTAAGAAACTTTTGGATGCAGGGAGGCCCTACAATCAGTGGTCTCATTAGCTGAGATGCATTCAAGTCTGCAAGATAAAGCTTTGTATAATATGATGGGGAAAAAAAAAAAAAAAAAATAGTCTTGCTATATGTAAATTTTATTTATTTACATATATATATATTAGTATGTTTGTTTTTTTTTTAGTTATAAATCCTCTTCATATTTCAGTTTAAACATTTACACTTTTGTACGGTTTTTACAGTTTGATGGCCTGTCTAGTGCTGCCATAGAGATTCACATAATTTAACGTGAAATTGTGGACTTTTTATGAATTTTTTACTGTATTTAGTGTAATGTATTCCGTGCTCCTGCGTTCCTGTCTACTGTATTCTAAGAATGTTAAACTTGCTGCTTGTTCATATCCCTTGAATTTTAGTGTTGTAAGTACTTTTAGATTTGGGAATCTCATGAAAGAAATCTAATCTACTGTTTACATTTCCTAATTCGATGCTGATAATGTGTTTTGCGGTTGTGTTGTTCTACCCTTTTTATTTGTTTTTGAAACTACTTTTATTTGTGAACCGTCACTGTATTTACTTTTGTAAACACAGTGACGGTTCCTCTGATGCCGCTTTTTCTTTCCATGTTTATATCAGCCGGTGGTTTATTATCTGGTGAAGTGGTGTTCGCTACCCTATGAAGATAGCACATGGGAACTGAAGGAAGATGTGGATGAAGGAAAAGTTGAAGAATTTAGACGCATTCAGTCCCGGCTACCCAACCTTAAACGTGTGGTGAGTAACATAATACAATATAATGACTACTGAAGGTGAAGTTTCATATGCTGTCCCAGCAGTAAATCGAGTAAGAGTGTAGTTTATTCAAATTTGTCACTGGCAAAAAAAAAAAAAATGTTTTGTCTGAGTAAGCACTGTAAGCTAAAGAACACCCTTTATTATTTTGGCTGTTGTAGTATAGTGGCCCTTTTGTAATAGCTAGGTTTTCAGCCAGTTGCTTCAGAGAGAAACCGTTAAAGGGCACCATTAGTGATGTCCCAAACGGTTCGCCGCGGACGGCGAACATATGCGCTGTTCTGTCTGCCCCCTATTCATCATCATTGAGTAAACTTTGACCCTGTACCTCACAGTCAGCAGACACATTCCAGCCAATCAGCAGCAGACCCTCCCACCACCTGGACAGCTCACTAAGAATGCAGCTTCACAATGAATGTAAAATGGATGCTGTCCAGGAGGGAGGGTCTGCTGCTGATTGGCTGGAATGTGTCTGCTGACTGTGAGGTACAGGGTCAAAGTTTACTCAATGATGACAAAGGGGGCGGACCGAATAGCGCATATGTTCGCCGTCCGTGGCGAACCGCTCGGCGAACCATTCGGGACATCACTAGTCACCATTCAACCACAAAACTATTTTAATAATCCTTTGATTTGTAAGAAAATAGATTTTTTTTTTTTTTTTTAAATTATATTTATTTATTTTTTTGTGTGTGTTTTATAGTGTTAAAGTGTTAAAAAAAGAAATAAATAGGGGGGAAAAAAACCCTTATTCCTACAATTAGTATATAGCATGGTCTTGCTTCACTGCACAGAAGCTGGGAAGACCGTAGGGACTAACTGTCGGTGTGTTTGTATATGGCTGAAATATCCTGCCCTATACTAAGTGTAGGTATTTTTCACATATACTTTTTCTAAAAATGAAAGGATTGTTGGCTTTAAAAATGGTTTTAGGGCGACCGTTATTTCATTATTTCTATTTAATTTATGATGCTTCGTTTCATTCTGTAGATTAGCAAGATTGTAGAAATGGATATTTTGTATTTGATGTAGAGTTATTGATATACTTTTAGTCCTCCTCCTTAGCTACTTAAGCAGTTGCATCAGATTTGCTGCCTCATTTCCAGCTGTTCCGATCACTCATTTATTGCATCTTGCAAATTCTTGCGTTTTGCTCTATATGAAATGTAGGCAAACATGTAGATACACTTTCTGCAGTACGTATTAGAAACTGTTCTTGTTTTAAAAGTGTCCTTAGAATTTGGCCTTTGTTCGTGTGAAATGAAAACCGTTGCACGTGTAACTGTTAATATGTCGGTACCAGTAAAGGGTTTTAAATTAGAAGCAGTTTGAGTAAATGTGGATACTGCTTTGTGAACACTGGTAATTCAGGTATAACTGTTTTTGTTACAGCCATTGCGTGTTCAGCATTCACTGGTCTCAAAAACACTCTTCCTTATTGTTAAACGAACTGCATATAGGGATTGTCTCAGTGCATAAATCTCTCCCTGTCTGTTACCTATCAAATCTATCTGTAGTTATGTATGTTTACTGTTTATGTAGTTATGTTGCTGTTTACTGTGTAAGAAATCTAATCTTTAATATCTTTTATATGACATTTGGAGTCTTTTTAATCTGAACCCACTTGAAAAGGTTAAACATTTTCTTAGTAGCCAGCAGAACATCAAGTCAAGTTAGTATTTCTTTATCGAGCTACAGGAGATGTCTCTCTGTTTCTAACATGAGCTTGGAGTCTGTGTGTTTCTCTACTGAAAACCATCTGAAGTTGATAACTTTCTTCTTTGGGGTGGGGTGGGGGGGGTAAATTTATGTATTTAACTTATTTTTTTCTCAGTTTTGTTATGTTGTAAGTTTTTGTTTGTTTACGCATGCTAACAATAGTGTTCCTTTTAAGTCCCGTCCAGCAGCGACCTCCTGGAAGAAGTTGGAGCTGTCACGCGAGTATCAAAATGGGAACCAACTGCGGGAGTACCAACTAGAGGGTGTTAACTGGCTGCTCTTCAACTGGTACAATCGGTGAGTTATTGCTACGAAGACCCAGTGTCCACATGGTTATTGTTAAAGCCTTTGGTTTCTTCTGATGTTACTGTTTTCTTTTCCTACAGGCAAAATTGCATCTTGGCAGATGAAATGGGTCTGGGGAAGACTATACAGTCTATCACATTTCTTCAGGAGGTGTACAACATGGGTCTGCGGGGACCCTTCCTAGTAATTGCTCCACTCTCTACCATCACTAACTGGGAGAGGGAGTTTGCCAGTTGGACACAAATGAATACAATTGTTTACCATGGCAGCCTGGCTAGTCGGCAAATGATTCAGCAATATGAGATGTACTGTAAGGACTCCAAGGTAACGTGTGTTCTCTCTTTTTCACCCTGTAAAAAGAAATGCATATAAGTGAACTAATTATTGATGATAAGCTTTTAAAGCGGGTGTCGGCAACATTTTTACACATGTGTGCTTGAAGCCATGTCTGCAGATGGATTGAGAGCCACCTTAATCTATAAAGTAAAAATATAATAAAAATAAAGATAATAATAGTAATCTGATGATCTTGTGTTGCATTGTCATATATAAGGATAGCAAATTAGAGAGCTATTTGCTTAAACAGCCAAACGATTGCAATTCATAAACAAATTTTTTTTTTTTTTTGTGAAGATATTTTTTATTAAAAGTTAATCAGCATTGTTTGTGCAATCACAGTTAGCCGTGTGAGACTCTCAGGTCTTCTAAATCTCTTACTAGTATTTGGATGTGCAGATCCAACTAATGATTGATTGATGCATGTGTTAATAAACATTAGGAACAAGCTGTGTGGATCTGAACAGTAGTATAACTTAGGGTACGGGCATCCTCCATAAGGTCGATACTAGGAAGTGAATGCTTTGGGGAGTCACCGTGCTAATTCTGGTATTACTCAGTGCGTGATGAATTGTAAGTGCAGTGCCAGTCCATTTGTGTTTAGGGAAGAGCGCTATGTGCCTGGGATGCAGATTGACTATTATCGTTTGATGCTATTTGTAGGCATTTGTGTTTGCAAGATGGCAACATCGTTGTCATACGGTAGACTACAGTCAGAGTGGGGTCCGGTCTAACGAGTTCACGGGCACCCATTGCAACATAACAAGTACATTGCATAACTTCGGTTGACTCGTCTACGTTCCCAGTCATGGGCGTTTGTCGTCTGCCTTGGTGCATGTAAATGGTGCAGGCTATAAATGTGCTTATAATGCGAACAGGTTGTGGGGGGTTCAGGCATTCAGCTCTTGGTGTACTAAGATGTGAGTTGTTGCTAAATTAAATGGAGTGCTAAGGGTGGCCCGTTATTAATTGCTGTGTTGCCATTGTGGCATTGTGCAGTTGTGTAATATCAATGTATTTATATGTTTAAAGAGTTAAAGTGACTGTACATTGTAATCGTGGCTTTCATTTGGAGGTATGCATGGGATAGGATGTGTATATGATTAAAAAGTTCATATCATTACGTTTTGCTTGCAGTTTTCTTTACAGTAGAAACAGATAACAGTGGAACCTTTACAACAGCGAGGCTCACAGGCCTCCATAAATGTGAAACATAGTGAGAACATTGAGCACAGTTAGTATTGTTCTATCTGCTGCGATGGGCCCATAGGTCCGTATAATTGTATCATGGCCCTTCTGGGCATTGTGTCGTCAATCCCTGTTGGTGTAGTGTGTAGGGCTTACATTCCTTGCACTTGGGTCTGCAAACCTTTTAACTTTAAAGTTTGGGAGAACAAAGTTATTACACACCTCTACCATATATGCAAGATTGGGACCTCTTGCCATTTCCAGAGCTACAGACCAATCTTCATTACCATCATAATCCTTATTTTCCTATCTGCAACTAAAAACCATAACAATATATTCAACCTGTGGCTAAACCAGAGATAACGGGCTCCAACTCAGTCTTTAAAGAAAAATTTTTTTACTTATAAATAACCCTGATCAAAAAAGTATTGTACTTTTGTTAAGTTAGAATAAATGACTTTGGAGCGGAAAAACCTTTGGGGTTTCATAAAGGCTTATCACAAGGACGTCTGCTATGAACTAGAGCAAGACTTATGGACCAATATGGTATTTAGAACTCACAAGGGTCTCACTCCATGCACCTCTCACCAAGAACTCCTTCAAAAAATTATGTATAGGTGATATTTGGTGCCAGCACGGTTACATTACATAACTCCAGGAAACTCAGCATGCTGCAGTTGCAAATTTGGAACGGGTACAATGCTTCACATCTTGGTGGGCTTGCCTAAAAATCCAAAGGCACTACACCTGATACATGCAGCCACTCAATATCAGATACCTTTAAAAAGTGGAAACGTTTCTCTCCAGCATACCCTCCTCCCCCAGACATGCCAAGACCCCAAACAAAACTGGCATTCCACTAGCAGCTAGCACACTCCCAGTCCGAAACTGGTGTACGAATTGTGTCCCCCAAGAGCAGGAACTGATTTAGCAGATATCCGTTAATCATATGAATGAATGTTCAAAGCAGGGTGCAGGACCACCAATAAAGCTTGCGAGATGTTGACCACATTCATTGATTCGAACTCCAGACAATGTACCAAATCCAAATGCACAACCATAATTAGTGCCCCTCAAGATAACCCACGGCAAATAACAAATATAGCACTTCATTATTCATAATTAATACCTCCAACCATTGGTTTACCTGCTAACAAATGTAAGTTCATACTTATTTTAAAAGTTTTTTTCTGTTTTAAATTTGTATTGTATCTATGCCTAATTGTCAGATGGGGAAAAAGATGTTGCCTTGATAAGGTTAACTACCGTTCTAATATATATATCCAATGAAAACACCCACTTTTACATGCTCACAGCCTTGTGGTCTGTGTGGTTGCTGGGATCACTGTACAGCTTACATTTGCACCTGGTATTGATGCCGGAGCTGCAGGGAAATTGCATCCCAGCTACTAGCACGCGGAAGAGCTTTACAGGAAGAGCACAGAGACTTAGAATTTTTCGGCAGATAAGAACCATTCGGCCCATCTAGTCTGCCCAATTTTCTAAATACTTTCATTCGTAGGCTGGTGAGAGAACTCAGTGGGCTAATGCATCGTCAGTAGAATCTGTTCAACCCTTAGGACCCTTATGTATTTACTATGCTACAATATCTACATAACATTTAAAACACAAATAAAAATGTTTAGCCTGAAGAGGGTGTACATTGTCAACAAATGAAACATTAGGCAGCTCAGTGGGTTAATAAATCATCAGTAGAATCTGTTCAACCTGCAGGTTCAAATCCCGGCAGGGTTGACTCAGCCCTTGATCCGTCTGAGGTAGATATGAGTACCATTAACCCCTTAAGGACCAAACTTCTGGAATAAAAGGGAATCATGACATGTCACACATGTCATGTGTCCTTAAGGGGTTAAATTGTGTAATAGTAACAACCCCTGGATGTTGGGCTAAAGTAACAACATCCCCAGGACATACTTGAAAACCAGAGTAATCTGAATGTACCTTTCCTGCCTTATGCTTATCCCACGCCTGCTTAAACTCCTTCACAAGTAAGTATACCACTCCCTCCAGCTCTGGACTAGACAGTAGTATATTTGGGCAGAGTAGGTACTAGGCACATGTTGTGCAGGTGCCTACTCTGTCTTATTAAAAGCAACAAGGCACAGAGCAGTTTTGTGAAACGCTCTCCTGGGGCATCCGAAGACCGCAAAATGTTACTTTTGGCAAAGTAGGCAGCTGGCACCCACATGACCGGTGCCTACTCTTCCCCCTAAAACTCTGTCACTCTTTGGGGGAAGCATGCACACATAAGTACCACATATCGTTCTATAAAATCTAAAGAATATTGTATAGGACCACATATCTTGAATGGAGATCCTTCTTTAAGAGGTCTTATGACCCTGTAGGTGACATGCACTTTGCTTTCACCAGTGCATCTTCTTGAAATTAGCATGGCATTAAATGACATGCATTCACATGCAATTTTATAATGACTGGTACATTCATGAAGAAATCCAGCAGATGTTTGGAGTTTTGCACTCGGTATATGATGAATCTAATAAAACCTCTCTAATTGCATACTTTTGTATTAATTGTCACATTGTCCTCTCCATCCGTAGGGGCATCTAATTCCTGGAGCCTACAAGTTTGATGCTTTAATCACTACCTTTGAGATGGTGCTGTCTGATTGTCCCGAGCTCCGTGAAATCGAATGGCGCTGTGTCATCATTGATGAAGCACATCGACTGAAGAACAGAAACTGCAAATTGTTGGACAGTCTGAAGCACATGGATCTGGTAAGAGTATTTTAAGATATTTATTCTGCCTTTTAAAACGATGACAGGTTGGGGGTGAGGAGGGTGGGGGAGGTTGTATTATGTGTTTTTATATTTTAGGCTAAATTGTCATTGATAATGTTCAGGTGTAAATTTAATGTTCTGGGTGCTAGGGATTGCCCCATTATAAAAAAAAAAAAAAATTTAAACTGATTCTCAAATTTGGTTAAAAACCTAGTTACAGTGCCCAGAGTCATTTGACAAAATAATCTATACATTGAACTGTCTTCATTGAATAATCTCTACATTGAACTGTTAAAAAATAAACAAATCGCAACCTACATTACATCGTTTTGTGTCTTTAGGCATTCTAAAGTCAAGAAATTTGGATAACTATGGGTGATAAATTATTTTGCAGTACATTGCTTAATCCTGAATAAGATTATATATATTTTTTTTTTACCATTTTATTTCAGGAGCATAAGGTGCTTTTGACTGGGACACCTTTACAGAACACAGTGGAAGAGTTATTCAGTCTTCTCCATTTCCTGGAACCCACTCAGTTTGCCTCTGAATCAGAGTTCCTTAAAGATTTCGGAGATCTTAAGACAGAAGAACAGGTACGTTTTACGGCTTCTTTTTTTTGGGAGGACACACCTCCCTCCCAATTATTAACAGTGCGTATTCTGATATTTTTTTTTTTTCTCAACAGGTTCAAAAATTGCAAGCTATACTGAAGCCGATGATGCTGAGGCGACTGAAGGAGGATGTGGAGAAGAACCTTGCACCAAAGCAAGAGACTATCATTGAGGTGGAGTTGACCAATATTCAGAAGAAATATTACCGAGCCATCCTAGAGAAAAACTTCTCTTTTTTGACTAAAGGAGCCAGTCAATCAAATACCCCTAACCTGCTCAACACAATGATGGAATTAAGAAAGTGCTGCAACCATCCCTACCTCATCACTGGTATGAGCTATTGATATCCCCCACAATTATTTATCTGAATTTGTTTCTTATACAACGCTCATGCATACTGGTGTAATGAATTAATTTGTGCACATCACAGGTCTTTTAATTTGTATGCCCTTCTATCCCCATATTTTCCCTCTTTCCTTTTCAGTCTCTGTGTTCATGCTTTTTCTGCTCACTCTATGCCTCTTATTCTCTCCAGCCTGTCTTTCTGTATTTTTATAGGGTTATTCATTAAAGTGAGAATTGCTGGGAATTCAAAGTAAATTTCTCATTTGAGGCCAAAATAACCTAGACACATCCTCTAGATTTGGCTACTTTGACCTCACATTTGAAATTAACTTTTGAATTAATTTAGAATTTCCAACAATTATCACCTTAGTGAATAACCATTTCTCTATTCATCAAGTGTCTACTTCTAGTTTAAGAGAGACAGGCAAAGACCTTTACAAATCTGTTGGAAACTGGGAAGACGTTTAAGAAACACAGACAGCCTAGGGAGAAATTTAGGGAACGAGGATGAAACCGTGAGACTAGGAAGACATTTAGGGAAAGGATACAGGCCAGAGAGGCCTCAGTATATTTCACATTTTTGCTGGAAATTTCACTTTGCATTATATTTAGTTTTTCTAATATCCTAATTACTGTTAAGCCTATATACTATCAAAACACAGTCTTTGACGCTATGTTTATTTATGCTATGCCTTTTTTTGTATCCACATAATGATTCATTTTGCTTCACTCTCCCTTGTAAACCCATCTTTAGTTTAGCTCTAATAATGGTAACGATCACCTTCCCAGCTGTTTTGTGGTGTGTTCTGTAGAGTCCCTTTGCTTTAAATGTGTTTTTTTTTTTTTTTTTAAATACTCATTTGTCAGTTTTCTCTTTTGTCTTAAATGTTTGTCAGTATTTGTGTGTAATATTATCTGATGGTACTATGGATTGTGTTTCTCCCTCCCCCCCTCCCCCGCCCCCCTCTCCCCCGGTTTATTTTATATATTTTCCTCTGTTCATATGCTTTGTCAGCTGTTGGAAATATTTTTATATTCACAATATAATGGCAACAATGCCTTATTAAAAAGGGATTGTAACCCTTGGTTAGTTGTTTATTCTCATACAGAAAAAAATTACTTTCTTCTCAATGCCGCAGCAAACAGACATGGATCCTTGGCAGAGTACCAGCCACAGACTGACACCACAGTGTAACCTTATATATAGCTTTATATTTTTACCAGTTTGTTTTTTTCAATTTTGATTGCCAATTGGTATAAGGACAACAACAATGGGAAAGATGAGGAATGAGGATAGAGCAGTTACTTGTGTTTGTGTTTTTTGTTTTTTTTGTGTAAGTATGCTTTTTCCATTCCTAAGTCAGGAATATAATTCACTATCTCTATTAAAGTTGTTGTTGTCAGAGTTGTTTGGGCTTGAGGCTGCTGAAATTTTCAAACCTGTATTAATCCTCGCCTTTATTCTACTGTATAAATGAAACTCAAAGTATAAGCCTATACCCCTCTGTTGCATTTCCTGTGCCATTAAAAAAAATAAAAAATTCAAAGAAAGCATAACGTAAATAGATTGGGGTAGAATAGATGGAAGGGATGAAAAAGAGGAGGCGGGGTTTCTTTTGGGAAACAAGCAAGTAATGTTTGTAAGTAACCTTCCTTGTGTTTTACTTTAAATACTTCACATGGATATGCATTTATTTGTGTTTGTTTTTGTTTTCTTTGCCGTTTCTCTCTGCCTAGGAGCTGAAGAAAAGATCCTTTCTGAGTTTCGGGAAGCAACCCCAGTGATTCCTTATGACTTTCACCTGCAGGCTATGGTGCGCTCCTCTGGAAAATTAGTGCTCATTGACAAGCTGCTGCCCAAGCTAAGGTCTGGAGGCCACAAAGTTCTAATCTTCTCTCAAATGGTGCGCTGTCTTGATATATTGGAGGACTATCTGATACAGAGAAGGTAAGCATTAAACAGCCCAGTCAATCTATCCTGTAAACACAAAGCTTGGTTGTGACAGCCCAATCACTAGAACTGTGTGTGTGACCATATATCTTCACTTCTCCTTAGATATCTGTATGAGAGGATAGATGGTCGGGTCCGTGGCAACATGCGTCAGGCAGCCATTGATCGCTTTAGTCGTCCAGATTCAGACCGTTTTGTGTTCCTGCTGTGTACACGTGCAGGTGGCCTTGGGATCAATCTTACAGCTGCAGATACCTGCATTATCTTTGACTCTGACTGGAACCCTCAAAATGACCTTCAGGTATTCCATCGTTATCATTGGTGCTGGCATCTGTGGCTTCTATTTAGTATGAATTTGCCTAGCTAACTGAATTACAATTCTTTCTCTATTGTTCTTTTCAACTAATCAGAACATTTTTCCTGCAAACAGGCACAAGCAAGATGTCATCGTATTGGCCAGAGCAAAGCAGTTAAAATTTATCGTCTCATAACCCGAAATTCATATGAGAGGGAAATGTTTGACAAGGCCAGTCTGAAGCTTGGCTTGGACAAAGCTGTGTTGCAGTCAATGAGCGGCCGAGACAATCACATGAGTGGGGTGAGGAACCAAGGGAAATTGTGTGTAGTAAGGAAGTGTACTGTAGTACATGTCTACCAGAAGACTTTTTCAGAAATACATTTGCAACAAATTTTATTTTCAGTTTTATCACTTATAACATATTGTGACCTTGGATTGGAATAAAGTGGCATGGATGTAGATTATTATTATATTAATGTGTGTGCTGAAATCAAGAATAAAATGAGGGAAATATGCAACAGACTGCTCATTTACAGTAATAATTAAACAGAATTAAAAGATGTCTGCCTGTAAACTCTCTCCAACCAGAATTGGAGAGGTGTACAGTTTACTGGACTTGTTGCTTGCCATGAACTAAACTTTGGCACAGCTGATTGAAGATATCCAATCACGTTTTATACAATTGCTTTTTTAGCCCATCCAACAATTTACAAAGAAAGAAATTGAAGACTTGCTAAGGAAAGGAGCCTATGCAGCTATCATGGATGAAGATGATGAGGGTTCCAAGTTTTGTGAGGAAGATATTGACCAGATTCTGCAGAGAAGAGCCACAACAATTACTATTGAATCAGAGGGAAAAGGCTCCACTTTCTCAAAGGTATGGGGTTTTTTTTGTTTTTTTTTTACGTAGTGCTGTATTTGACCATTTACGCGGAAAACAAAAAACAAGATCTAAAAAATATTTTGTTCAAAATAATGAAAAAATACAACCATGCTTATTCATTAGAGGGACAGTATAGTCGCCAAAACAAGTTTAGCTTAATTAAGCAGTCTTTGTGCATAGATCATGCCTCTGAAGTCTCATTGCTCAATTCTCTGCCATTTTAGAAGTTAAATTACTTGTTACTCTTTATGCAGCGCTAGCCGCACCTCCCCAGACTGTGACTGACACATCCTGTATGAAAAAAACAACCGTTTTTAATCAGATGTAACTTACTTTAAAAGTTTTTATCTTCTGCTCTGTAAATTTAACTTTAATTACGTATAGGAGGCTCCTATAGAGTGTAGCAAGCTAATAACAGAGCAGGAGATAATAAATTCTAAATTAAACGGCATTTGCAACAAAAAGTGTAAACATTAGATGTCACTTTACAGGAAGTGATCAGGAAGGCCGCGCATGTTACATGCCGGGAGGTGTGACTAGCGCTGCATAAGCAAATGGATTTTACTCATAAATGGCAGTGAATTGTAGATTATGCTAACGTAGTGTACCAATAATCTTAATTTTATCACATGACAGGAGGCGTCATATTTTGCATAACTTTCTTTACTTTATGCCTCCAGCAGCACAAGTCAATCAGAAAAAACTTTAAATCAATTAGTAACAGGCATCACATCCATATATAAAGCCCTGACAGACACATGACTTCCTCTTTCTTTGATGCGAAAAACGGTCTATTATAACGTCGGGGAATTCAAATAACAGTCCTGAGTAACGTGTAGCACATAACTTGAAATGAAACTTGAAACCTTCCAGCTTTATCTTGTCGAATCCATCTATGATGATAACACTGAAAAGAACAGAAATAAGTGAAAGGTGATGGAAACACACTGTTTTCCACATTAAATCCAGTACTATACGTGTCTATATTTATATTAAGTTAATATACTGAAACATTAAACAACCATAATATAGTTAATCAACACGGATCTAACATATGTCAACCAGATAAGCATCCCATAAATATACTGAAATACCACAACCATATAATTACACTGAGAAAATGACAATCCAGAATATTAAAATTTTCCAAGGTACAGGGAGGGAAAATATTCGCCTCCTGTCATTATTAAAATTAAGATTATAGGTACACTACGTTAGCATAATCTACAATTTTTATCACATGATAGGAGGCTTCATATTTTGCATTTTTAAAGCTGTGGTATTAGCGAGAAGGATGCGTGTGTGGTTTGACGAAAATAAATATACGGAAGTAGTCTATCCGTGTCCAATGCGTCGCTGTAAAATATAGAGGCCCCCCTCCACCCCGCTAGCGATAACAACCAATGAACACATCTAGACAGTGTTCGTGGTAACTGGCTTGTATGGTTGGTATAAGACCAGCAGATGCCCTGAATGTGACAATCTAAGTGTTGTCGTGATCTCCATGTAACGAAGTACCACTTTAACTGCACAAAGACTGGGAAACCGCCGGGAACAGGGTAAGATACGGACGCGGATAAGATTTAGTTCTACGAGACACCGTAGAAATCATTTGTTCTGTTGATACCAAAAAGACCTAAAAGTAACGTGACTATGGCTGACGGAGGGATAGGTTATCCAAAAGAACCAAATCAAAGTCCCACAACAGTGATACTTTGACGCATGGTTCTGGACAGTTTGATACCCCGCAGAAAGCGGCATATCAAAGGCTCCTGATCGACCGGAGTGTCGTGAATCGTACTATGCGTTCTCGAAATCGCGGAACGTATCCCGTTAATGGAACGGTCCGAACATTCGATCGGGCCGTAGCGAGAAGGTATGATAAAGATTCAGCATCGAGGAGATAGGGGTAGTAAAGGGATCGCAGTCCCTTCTCATACACCAGCGACTCCAGGTGTTCCATGCGGATAAGTTATTTCGGGGAATACCTGGTGTCCATGAGTCCCATAATAGGTCTCTAGTTGGTTGCGATAGTCCCTTGACGTACCAGTCTTCCCTGAAAGACACCAATCCACCAACTCCAGACTCTCCTGCATTATCAATGGATGATGTTCTCCTTTTGGATCTGCCCTAAGGCAAGTTAAAACTGAAGGAGCAGAGGATGATCCCGATTAAGGACAACCATTCTGGGTGCCATGCTTGACTCCTTTACCGCGGTAATTAGTACTATCGAAGTCTTCGCTATTCTGATCCCAATTTCATAGGTGTATTCGGATCTCGGGTAGTGAGCTTTCAGCGGTCCTGGGAAATAGTCAAAGGGTTATGGTGCCTTTCCGCCGTACCCGTCAAATTTCCTTACGAATCGTCGCTATCAATGATGTGGAAAGGTGTAATCTGGAATCTATTCCGAAGTAGAGGAACTGAATCACTCGGGACTGGGATCGAACCGACTACTCTCTGTTCACTATGAATCCCAACAATTCCCAAAACTGTAAACCTATATCTCGTCTGTAAACGTAGTCAGGAATTGGATTTGCAAAGTCAGTGTGGCGAAAGCCGCCTCGCCACTGGACATTGGAGAGGCCTGGCTGCCCGCCACCTACCTGCTGACTATGGCCCCTGGTAAATTTGTACTTTTGAATGCAATATTTGGGCATGTGGTATTTTATATTGCTGCTACTGGCCCTTTAAGGGCCATCCGTGGACATATTATGAATTTTTGGGAACAATATCCCTTTAAGACTTTTGTAGCAGATTACAGTAAGAATGTCTTTTATATGATGTATGTTTCTGTGTGTTCGGCTAAATTGTATATGTGTATGCAGCATTCCCCTGATTGTTCGGTAGAATCACTCCATTCATTATATTGAGTGAGACTACCAAACAACCAGACCACCCAGGAATAAGTGTGCCTACAATTACCGTTTGCAACAATGTTGCAACCGGGTAATTGGCAATCTATGTAATGTGTTCTTTGTCCACTGGGTGGCCGCCATTTGGGAAACAAACACGTGGCGGCGGTCATCTTAAACTCCCGAACAGCGGTGTTTTGCAGTCGAGTGTCTGGAACTAAAATCGGACACTCGACTAGGCAAACACCGCTGAGACCTCCAGACTTCCAGCAATTCGTGCAGAAACTACCGAACGGCCCACCGTTCGGTAGAGAGGATCCCACGAACAAGGGGATTCATACGAATCCTCCCGAAGCTCCATAACCCAGTTAATTGGTGTAATTCATTCCCTTTTCTGTGACCGATTGAAGGGCCAGAATATATGGAACTATTTTCGGTTACTTTTGCCATGTAGTCGGTCAAAACTTTAACCCTCCATAATTCCCGAACCCCTGCTCCGATCTGGGTGATTTTTGGATATGTGTCTCACCCATATCAGGGCTACCAGGGGATGTAACATTTAAAGGGGTAACCCTATGTTTAGGGGTACATCCAGTAACCCAGGGAATTTGTGTCTGGACTAATGGGATTATGTGTCACACTAAGGAGAGGAGATGTGTGGGAGGTAAGTGGTACATTATTGGCTGGGGTACTAATTGTTGTGGATCCCTCCCTTGCATGGGAGAATGTCTGTCTTAAAAGGAGGTTGTGTGAATAAATCTAGAGATTCTGCTTAACCCTCAAAACGAAGTGTCGTCTCGTTATTGGGGGAATGGGATTGTATGCTGACTGCCAGGAGTGTAACCCTTTCGTATGGTTTTCCTGTTCGGATATCTCCAGTGTTCATGTGTTTCCAGTTCGGGAGATCGGTGCTTACAGTAGCTGTTGGTGTATCTGGAAAGGGGAATATCGCCTAAACGGTTTTTAACCTCTGGTGAGCAAATGGTCCGTTACAGTCAGTAAGTCGTCTAGGTATGCGACAGCGGATACCCTTTGCTCTTCAGTGCGCCGTAACCGGCTTCAGAAACTTCATGAGGCACCATATGAACCAGTAGGTAAGTGCCCTTCAAATCCAACCTTTCGAACCCCTTTCGAGGAGTAGACCCCTAATAGATGGATACCTTCCTTCTTGAGGTGTCGGTACGCCCCAAAACCATTGGGTTGGAGTAGGTTGATGACTGGGCGGTAGTCTCCTGTCTTCTTCCTTACTACCAAACCGTTGCTGAGATAAATGGTTCTCCAAACAATAGTCCGTCCGCCTGAGGTCCTCGCTCTTTCATCCCTAACTTCAATAGTTTGAAATCCACCTGTCTGCCTTGCGTTCCCCAACCTACATACTGCCCTTTGCACCCATTCCCTCACATCGTGAGCTTCTATAGGTGAGTCTTGGGTGGGGGTCAGGTCCGCAAAGCATAGAATTTTTTTCCCGGGGTTGATCATGTCCAGTATTTCATCCTAACTCGTTTTGAGTCCTTCTCCTACACCTTTACATGGACCCCGGCCTGATCGGGACATAAATATCACCACAGTGATACCAAGCACCATGGTGAGGACTATCTTGTTTGGCAATAGAGGGCGTGGGCATTCCACCCTGAGCTTGTCTCTGATTTCTTTTCCCATAGGCCTCCTGAGCCAGAAGTGGGCAAAGTGTGCCCGGTGCTCCGGTAAACCCCATTCGGATTACCCTAGGTGTCAGGTGGTGCGTGAGTCAAAACAAGAGTGTCCAGTGTGCCAAAGAAAAGCCTTTCTTGCTAGGCGGGTCTTGTCACTTTACCTCTTCAGATGGAGACTCTTCTGCTCTCCATTCTTTCATGATCTCCAGAGAAGGGGGAGGGATGAAGTCCTCGTCCCCTGATGATGGAGCCTGAGATGATTAATGGACAGGACGTTCTGAGAGATAGCTCCGCTAAAACGGGGAGTTCCCTTTCCCCTTTGGAGAAGCCGTGTTGGAGCCCTTCCAATGGTGTTTAGATAAGGTGTCCGACCTAATGTCCGTATCTCCAGCTTCCATTGGTGGTGGTGCCGTTGCACCCGCCCTGTCGGATGGGTTGTAAGCCAGCATATTGGCGAGGACTTCTTCCCCCAAAGCTGCCATGGCGGCCTTAATCCTCGCCTGAAAATCGGTCGGGGATATTGAGGGAAGTCCGACATGTTGGTTCACACCCTTCGGTCTATGAGAGACAGGATCGTACAACAGTACACTTATTGCCACTCAGTGGGCCTCCGCATATAACTGTGGTCACCCAGAATTTCGATCAATCAGTACCACTTTCACAGGATCCGGGGAGTGGTCTGAGAATGAGGACACCCTCAGTAAGACCAGGATGAGCAGTCTGCAATGTGGGGACGTAGCCCGAGTATGGGAGACGTGAAAGCCTCAATATGTATAATCCGAAGGGGGTCATCCTTATATGGCCTAGAATTGTGGAGTTTTGGCAGCACTGTGTTTTCCTTCTCGGTTAAAGGAAGGGCGTACAGATCCCCCAGTTGAAGCATAGAGGTGCCGGAATACATGCATCTAGTGCGCCCTGGTCTGTGCATACCATGACAGAGCGTACTCTGAAGGTAGAAGCCCTAAAAAGGGCGCAGGGGTCACCCCGTCCGGCAGGGGGGGCCACCCCTTTGTACGTATGCCACTAGTACTGGAGTAAGACTCGCTTGGGGTTCACCCAGCGTAGGGGGGTCACCCCTGTATGGATGTCTATTATGGCATGTTGGGACACTCTTTCGGTCTGGGGTACCGAACAGGTGTCAGGTACGGTAGTACACTTATTGCCACTTAGTGGGCCTCTACGTACGACTGGGGGTCACCCAGAATTGTTTCAGTCAGTACCACTTAGAGATTTCCTGGGAGTGGTCTGAGGAGGGGGTCACCCTCAACAAGACCGGGATGAGCGGTCAGTAATGTCGGGACGTAGCCCGTGTATGGGGAGGTATGGTAGCCTCCAAATTATCCAAGGGGTCACCCTTATGGGATATAGTACTGTGGAGAATTGGCAGCACTGTGAGCTCTCCTTCCTGGCTCTGTCGATATACACGTATCCAGTATGTCCCGGTCTGTGCATACAGTAACAGATTGTACTCCGTGGATATGAGCCCGTCCTAGCGTGTGGGGGTTCCCCCCAGTATATGTATGTCACTAGGACAGGAATCAGATTCGCTTGGGGGTCACCCAGTGTAAGGGGGGTCACCCTTGTACCACAATGTCACTTTGGAGAGGTGTCTGCCACGCTTGGGGGTCACCCAGTGTAAGGGGGGTCACCCCTGTTAATCACTCCGTTATTTGCCTCCACTACTGTGTCCTGGGAGCTGTATCCCTGTGGGGAAGGAGTGTATCCAGTGGTTGTGAGGTCCAGTGTGAGTAGGGAGATGAGTAAGTTATCAGCTCTATTTAATTTCTCTGCCAGCAGATAGAGTAATGCATCCACTATATGCCCACAGCAGGGAACAGTCCATTCATAATCCTCCAGACGTACAATAAAACTGTTATTCAACATGAGAATTGTATAGAACAGAATAGAGCAAACTGCCAGCAGACATGAGTACTGCATCCTCTATATGCACACAGCAGGGATCAGTCCTATATATTAATGCAGAATTACATATAAAACTTCTATTTCACATGCCAATGAAATATGACAGTATAGAGCTCAGCAGTGAACAGTCCATTCATAATCTTCCAGAAAAGGTACATATAAAACCTTTATTCCACATGCCCATGATATGTATTAGTATTGAGCTCAAAAGTATTTGTAAAACTTTTATTTCACAGGAAAAATATTTTAAACAGTACAGATCTAGCTGCCAGTTCATGGGAATCACGAACTGGCTAAACGACATGACCGACTTGAATCTTGCGAGTGCCGCGAAATTCAAGATGGCCGCCGTTCGCACGCAAAAGCGCCGTGCGGCCTGCGATCAAGGATACGATCGCGGCCCGCCGGTATGGAACAGTCCCCTCGACACCTCCAACCCCCAGAGACCTGAAGTCCCAGCACCAGTGAATAAAAACCGCGCTCGCGATAAAACGCTGCGATCCGTGCGAGACCAGAGTAATGCATAGGAAAGAAAAGGTGCCAGCAACAGAAAACCAAACAGGCTAATAAAGCAGAAAATACAGAGTTAATTCGGGGGAAGGGTAACAGGGGGAGAATATCACACTATACAAGTCCAAATGGAAGGCAAGTGCAAAATAATGAAAAACGTTTAGGTCAAGATGCAGGACAAGCTAATAAAGTTTAACTAAAGTGGCCATGCATATCCAGAAACAGTTTGGAGCAAAACTGAATGTCTAGCATTAAAAATCTAATTAAAGTGACCATAGCAATATTAATAAAAACAGTTGGAACAAACTGAAAGTCAATTAATAAAGCTTAATTAAAGTGACCATTGCAATATCCAGAAAACCAGTTTGGATTAAAACTGAATGTCTAGGATAAGGTGTCTAACTAAAGGGACCATAGCAATATTAATAAAATAACAGTTTAGAGCAAACTGAATGTTAAAGGACCACTCTAGGCACCCAGACCACTTCAGCTTAATGAAGTGGTCTGGGTGCCAGGTCCAGCTAGGGTTAACCCATTTTTTAATAAACATAGCAGTTTCAGAGAAACTGCTATGTTTATTAATGGGTTAAGCCTTCCCCCTATTCCCTCTAGTGGCTGTCTCATTGACAGCCACTAGAGGCGCTTGCGTGCTTCTCACTGTGATTTTCACAGTGAGAGCACGCCAGCGTCCATAAGAAAGCATTGTAAATGCTTTCCTATGAGACCGGCTGAATGCGCGCGCAGCTCTTGCCACGCGTGCGCATTCAGCCGGCGGGGCGTAACGGAGGAGGAGAGGAGGCAGAGAGCTCTCCGCCCAACGCTGGAAAAAGGTAAGTTTTAACCCTTTTCCCCTTTCCAGAGCCGGGCGGGAGGGGCACCCTCAGGGCACTATAGTGCCAGGAAAACGAGTATGTTTTCCTGGCACTATAGTGGTCCTTTAAGCAATACATGTTTAACTAATGACAATTTGCAATATCAGTAAAACAGTTTGGAGCAAAATATCTGACCTGTGCCTTGGCTGGTAAGCAGCAAAGAAAGAGGAAGTCATGTGTCTGTCAGGGCTTTATATATGGATGTGATGCCTGTTACTGATTGATTTAAAGTTTTTTCTGATTGACTTGTGCTGCTGGAGACATAAAGTAAAGAAAGTTATGCAAAATATGAAGCCTCCTGTCATGTGATAAAATTAAAGAGACTGCATAGGCATGATCTATACACCAAAACTGCTTCATTAAGCTAAAGTTGTTTTGGTTACTATAGTGTCCCTTTAAGATCCTCCAACCACCAAGAGTGAGAAATTACAGTATACAGTAATCGGTATATATGGAAATAATTAAATGGTTACTTCAACCAAAATATTTTTTTCATAAAATACTATTTTTGATTAAAGTAACCTTTGCTGTGTTTTTCCAGCCACTCTCCCAATTAAAAAAAACAAAAAAAAGCGGATAGCACCTCAGTGGCCAAGTTTTCCCCCTTAGCCTGACCCTCCTCCACTGCCATCACTCCCCCTCCTTGGTGGAGGAGAGATATCCGGAAGAGCAGGCAAAGGGGAGAGGGCCGTGTTGCAATTGGACGCATGTCGTCAGCATGCAGTGCTTGGTGATGTCAGACGTTCTTTATGCACTGGATTAACAATAGCCACCCAAAACTTTTTTGTTCTGGGTTGGTTAGTGAAGCCCCAATGTTGCTGCCAGAAGTGGACTTATAACGTTGGCAATAGAAGGTTTAAGCTTTGTGTGTGACACATTTAAGAAGGATGATACTTAGACTTTGATAGCACTGACCCCACTTAGTGCAACCATAAGATATGTAAACTAGCTTGCAGCAGCTCAATTATTTGTTTCTGTATACATTTATTTGAGCTCTTTCTTGGAGCATGAAATATTAACATTTTATAGAGTAACTTTGATTTTGCCTATTGTATATCATGTGATGAAAAAGCTGCTTACCTAACTCTGCTCCTCTATTTACTACAGGCTAGTTTTGTGGCTTCTGAAAACCGAACAGATATATCACTGGATGATCCCAACTTCTGGCAGAAATGGGCCAAGAAAGCAGATTTAGATCTGGATCTTCTCAACAGCAAGGTGAGTGCACCTTTGTCTGATGGAATTCTTTAAAAGAATAGAGGGTTTAACTGGTATTCCTGTATAAATACAAGGCAAACTTTAAAATGCTGATATTTTTGTACTTCAATAACTGTTAGTGAAAGTTATTTTGGTAGATGCACTACAAAACTTTTGGTTATACTCTCAGATACTACTCTTTTTGAAGTATTACTTGTCCTTTGAAAAAAGCTATTTATTTATTGCTTGTTTATCTTAAGAACACCCTTGTAATAGACACACCCCGCATCAGAAAGCAGACTCGACACTTCAGTAATAAGGATGATGACATGGTGGAGTTTTCAGACTTGGAAAGTGATGATGATGATCGGCCACGAGCTCGAAGACAAGAGAGAAAGCATGGCTATGGGCGCACTGACTGTTTTCGCGTGGAGAAGCACTTGTTGGTATATGGGTGAGTTCCAAACTCCTTCTTCTTTTTTTTTTTTTTTCTTTTTTTAGCACTGTGTATTTTGATGAAACTGGTTTGTAAAAATAGCTGCTACACCAATATTGTATAGTATTCTTAGAATTCTATTCTGATTCCTGCTTTATTGGTTAGAATAAATTCGATAAGCTTTAATACTGGTATCTTTTCTTTAACTAGCTGGGGCCGCTGGCGGGATATACTCACTCATGGTCGCTTCAAACGTGGGATGACTGAGAGGGATGTAGAGAGGATATGCAGAGCAATTCTTGTGTATTGTCTTCTTCATTATCGGGGGGATGAGAACATCAAAAGCTTTATATGGGACTTGATTACCCCAGCAGAGAATGGAAAAACCAAGCAGCTACAGAACCATTCTGGTAATCCTCACACATTGTGGAGTAGGCTGGAAGCTGCACATACACATTGCTTTTACTTATACTAATTAAGTACCGTTTCCTCTCCAAATACAGGCCTCTCTATCCCAGTCCCCAGGGGCCGCAAAGGAAAAAAAATTAAATCCCAGAGCAGCTTTGACATACATAAAGCAGACTGGATTCGCAAGTACAACCCAGACACCTTGTTTCAGGATGAAGGCTACAAGAAGCATCTAAAACACCAGTGCAACAAGTAAGCATATTAGAACCATAGGATTATTTAAAGTCACACTCCAGACTAGAAGCAACCCCCCATTTTTGTACCTCAATGCGTTGTATAATATGTACAATAATTTTAAAACTCCTGTATTTGCACACAGAGCTTCACCCAGGCCCGGAACAAGTTCCACCAATCTAGAGGCACTCATTCTAGTCTAAGAGATCTAGTCATGTCCCACAAATCTTTGTTTATTTGGTGCTTATTGGATACGTAGTTGTACTCAAGTAATGAACTCTGAATTAGCAGGTGGCAGCAATGCCATGACTTCTGTCTGCCTGTTTACAGACTTTATTTATTTTTATCTTATTTTCTTTTTTCCCTTACATTTTATTGAAAATTAGGCAGAATATGCGGTACAATAAAGATGTTGGGGTTACATATTCAAACACCCTTGATGACCGTTTCCACTTAAATAACAATAAAGGGTCATAAATTGTTTATATCTAAAAGGAGGTGGCCACATTAGGGAGATGCTATAAACCAAGCAAGTAGTAATAATGTGCCAATTCAGGAAGGGCCACAAAATCACGTCAGGCCAGTTTAGTCCTGTAATATTTTATTTGTATTCTATTTTATATTATTGGGTCGTAAAAGGTATTTGCTAAAGTTGCTGACTGCAAATGTGCTCGCTCTCTTCTCCATTTTTTTTTTCTGAGAGATTGAGAAGGAGGTGATGACTTGGCTTTACCACAATTTGCACAATGTAAAACAAAAATATTGGTAGAATATATTTTTCTAAAGTTAGTATTGTGCAGCGGTTTGTTATCCCTGTTTTTATGAGGAACTGTGTACAAGAAGGCAAAAGAGAATAGGACCTCTTTGCTTAGACAACTGAGGAAAGGCCATTATGGTGCATTTATTATCCCTTTAACCCCTTAAGGACGGGTGACGGACCTTGTCCGTCACGCGGTAAAATTAACCCCGGATCACCGCTGTCGCGGCGATTGCGGGGTTAATGGTGCTTCGGTATGCCTCTGCATTAGATGCATACCGGGAGCACCCTGTCGCTCTGACGACCGCAAGTCAGAGCGAGCACATGTGCTCTGTATACTTACCTTCCGGCTCCCTGCACTTCCTGGTTCTGTGTGAAGTGCAGGGAGCCGGAACAGTGCTGATCCTGCCCCCTGCTGTAAAAAATAAATAAAGTTAAAGTCCCACCCCCCTTTACCCATTGTAATAAAAAATTAACCCCTTCCCTGCCAATTGATCACTGACTACAGTGATTAATTGGCAGGGATTACATTTTACTATGATCTGATTTTTATTTTATTTTTTAAACCCCTGAGGGTTATTTTTTTCTTTTAAACCCTCAGGGGTTAAATTTATTTAATTAAAATATTTTTAAATTATATATTTAGCTAGCTGGGGTGGGTGGAAGTTAGTGGGGAATTGGGGGATTTGGCGTTAAGCTAACTAGAGGTTAACGTTCAAAGTTTTAAAATAAACTTTAAAAAGTTAAAAATTAAGCTTTAAAAAAAAGTAAAAAATAAAAAACACCCCCCTTTACCTAGTCCAAATAAAAATTAACCCCTTCCCTGCCAGTCGATCACTGCCTACAACGATCAAATCCAGATCACAGTATTATACTGTGATCTAATTTTTTTTAACCCCTGAGGATTAACTTTTATTTATTTTTTAACCCTCAGGGGTTCAATTTATTTAATTAATTTAAATATTTTATAACTATATATTTTGCTAGCTGGGGTGGGTGGGAGTTATGGGAAAATTGGGAATTTACTGTTAGTGCTGCTTACTGCTAGTTAGGGGTTAACGGTAAAAAAAAAAAGCTTAGAAAAATGTTAAATCTGTAAAAAAGTTTTAAGAAAGTTTAGGAAAGTTTAAAAAAAATTAATAAGCAAAACAAAAGTTTAAAAACTAGTTTTTAAAAGTAAAAAAGTAAAAAAAAGTAAAAAAATACATTTTAAAAACGCTCATTACCACTACACCTGGAACAAACTAGAGAAAAAATTATCCCACGCCAAGGTTCAAAATATGCCTTTTGAATTACCCCAGGGTGTATTCTTTAATAAATAGTATGTGTTTGTGGGGAAGTTTCAATAACCAACCAGTCTAAACTACTCCAAATTGGAACATGGACACAGCGTAAAACTTCAAAGTTAGAAAAAAACTGAATGGCTGCGTCTCAGATGCGCCCCTTCAACATCCACATATACCTGGCAAAGGTACATACGGGGCTATTTCTGTACTCAGCCGACATAGCTGAGCAACATATGAAGTATTATACAGTCATAGCACACATAAGGTTTGCAGAATATAGTGTGCAAAAACTCACTTTGTGTGTCAAAAAGGCAGAAAAAACGCTTATTACCACTACACTTGGTACAAGCTAGCGGAAAAATGATCCCATGCTAAGGTTCAAAATATGCCTTTTGAAATACCCTGGGATGTCTCCTTTAAGAAATGGTATGGCTTTATGGGGTATATGGATTATATAGCCTGGTAAAATACTCTAAAATGGGACATAGGCACAGCGTAAAAATTCAAAGTTTGAAAAAAAACTGGAATGGCTGTGTCCCAAATGTGCCCCTCCGATGTCCACACATACCTGGCAAAGGTACATACGGGGGTATTGCTGTACTCAGCCGACATAGCTGAGCAACATATGAAGTATTATACAGTCGTAGCACACATAAGGTTTGCAAAATATACTGTGCAAACTCACTTTGTATGTCAAAAAGGCAGAAAAAACGCTTATTACCACTACATCTGGTACAAGCTAGCGGAAAAATGATCCCACGCTAAGGTTCAAAATATACCTTTTGAAACACCCTGGGTGTCTACTTTAAGAAATGGTAGGCCTTTGTGGGGTAGTTTGAATTTAAAACCTGCGAAGATGCTTGGAAATTGCACATAGGCCCAGCGTCAAAATTCAAAGTTCGGTAAAAACGGATATGGCTTGGTCTCCTATATGGCACTGTAGCTTCACGAAGTAGTGCCAAAGACATTCATTGGGTGTCTTTTTACTCAGAAGACTTAGCTGAGCATAATTTGGGAGGTTTGAACTTAGTGGCACATATGAAATATACAAAACGCCCAGCAAAAATGCAATCTGTATGTAAAAATGCACACAATTATTTTTTACCACATACCTTGGCATATATTGGTGAAAAAATGGGTGCATGTTAAGGCACAATATGCACCTTATGAGATACCCTGGAGTGTCTACTTTTACAAATGGTAGGCCTTTTTGTTTTTTGAACAGTCAAACTGTTATAATACCCCAAATGGAAGCTAAGGCTCATTAAATCCACTACTGTGAATACTGAAAAGGACAGGTATCCTGTATGGCACTGTAACTTCACGAAATAGTGCCAAAGACTTACAATGGGGGTGTCATTTTACTTAGCAGATGTAACTGAACACAAAATAAAACTTTGTACAGGAATAGCACACACCAACTTTACAAAATATACACGAGAATTTCTCTGTTATAAGTTTGTGTGCCAAAAACCAAAAAAACCACAATTTTACTCCAATATTTAGCAGAGGTTGGCGGTGAAATGGCTACGTAGAAAGTGTCAAAACAACCTTAGGTAAATAGCCCGTGATGTCTACTTTATATAAATATATACTTTTGTGTGGCAATTTTGTTTTCTTTTATGGCTATTAAGCTTACAAGACAAACATACCAAATTCTAAGATCGCTCCACATTAAAAGTCTATTTTACTCCTTGTGCTTTGTGACCTGTAACTACCAAAAAAAACTTAAAATCCCAGACACATTATATATTCTGTAAATCAGAACAACTAAATGAATTTATTTTTAATTACTTTTCTTAACCTGCACTAATTATGCACACATTATTATTGCAAAAACTGTAAAAAAAAAAAAAAACACTTTTCATTTTTTTTTACATTTTTCTGTATTTTTTTATAATAAATAAGCATTTATATATATATGTGTGTGTGTGTGTGTGTGTGTTACATCAAATTAAAGCCCTTTCTGTCCTTTAAAAAACGATGTATAATATGTGTTGGTGCAACAAATTAGTAAAATGCAAATTGCAGTTGAACGCAAACAGCAAAAAATGAAAAAAATGCTGTTGTCATTAAGTGAAAGACAAGCTTTTGAAGCTCTGTCCTTAAGGGGTTAATGGAGGAAAGTTAGCGCTAGAGAACTATATGTCTCACTGAATGTGTTACTTCTGCTATTGTATTATGTGTCAGTGTGTGCAAACCTCTCCATCATTTGTCCTGTTTCCTTTCAGGGTGCTACTGCGGGTCCGTATGCTGTATTATCTCAGACAGGAAGTCATTGGGAACCAAGCCATGAAGGTCCTGGGAGGTGTGGATGCCAAGTGAGTATTACTATGTAGAATTTTTATTCTTTTTTTTTTGGTTTACATTTTTGTGTCTCTTCAGGTTTGAACATCCACATTTTGCTTGTTTTCCCAAAAACTTCATCCTGCCTTATATGGAAACCACAAATCTACTGCTAGATTTATTCTGGGATTAACATTTGCATGTGTCCGCTTGCTGCTGGAGTGGCAGGAAGGTAGCCTTTAAAGATTGAACACTTCGAAACCAATCCAGTCTGCCAGAGGGCGCATGTCTTAAACGAGATAGGTTCATAGGCTGCCACTTTAGTGTCCTAACAGCACATGAAGTCCACAATATCTAGGCTTCTATACATGACACAATAGATGCAAAAATCACACAAACTCTGCATACACATTTTGCTGCATTCATGTACACACACTTCTTTCACACACTTGCAGCCCTGCGTTCACACCTACACTGACTCTCCATAGTAATGCACCATGCATTGATAGATGCAGAGACACTCCACACTTGCACTCCTGCATTTACACAAACTGACATTTCACAAAACAAATGAATACATTGCTTAATTGTACGCAAAGAATCTCCTGAGTGTATGCACTGAAGCACACAACAATGAAAATGTGAATAAAAAAAACGGATATTCATGTGCAATTGTGGTGGCAAGTTATTTATGGACCAAGTCCGCAGGCTCACATTAAGTCCTGGTTTAATATTTCTAACTATGATTTGTAATCTGTACACCTCAATATGTCACGATTATCTGGGTTAAAATTTGCATAAAGAGCTCTTAACCAATGTCCTATAAGGACTGCAAAATATATCTGATCTGATATTCCAAATATCTTGTATTTCTGTTTTTACAGGGATATTGACATCTGGTTCCCCCAGGTAGATCAGGTAGAGGTGCCATCCATGTGGTGGGATAGAGAGGCTGACAAATCTCTTCTTATTGGTGTCTTTAAACATGGTGAGTTTCACTCCCTTTTTTGTTGTTTGTGTCCTAACACATAGGCTGTAATATTACAAACACTATCTACTTTCATATAGGGTATGAGAAGTATAATACTATGCGTGCCGACCCTGCCCTCTGTTTCCTGGAGAAGGTGGGAGGACCTGATGAGCAAGCCATTGCAGCAGAGCACCATGCTCAGGACTATGTTGAGCTGCCTGAGACGTGAGTATAAATGGCAGTGTGTTTACTACGGTCAGTCCTTTTCGCTCTCTTATATACAGTGGTGCCAATGATGAGTTGCCATGCTAATCCTGACGCAGCAGCTAGATTCCCCTGGGATTTGTGCTGGGGGCGAATGAGTTAACCCAAACTTCTCACTTTGTGAGCCCTGAGGCCAGCAATATATGGGTAGAACGAGTATGACAAGGGATTTCTTGAGGTGCTTATTTCTATATCATGCCCTAATTAATGTTTCTTAATCATTACCTGTTTCATTCAGTGGAGACTTCGATCGAGATATAGAGGATCCAGAATACAGACCACTGCATGCTCAAAAGGATCCTGAGGATGAGGTGATGCACATATTGTCACATGGAAATTAATACAGATTTAGAGCTCCATAATATGTACATCAGTTTTAAATTAACATATGTAACAAAATTGTGTTCTCTATTACTTAGATTGACTCACTGATGATGGACGAGGAAATATCTGTTGTAGATGGTGAAGAAGGTGAGTGGAAATAAAATGGGGAACTGCTATTTGTGTCTTCTTAACAGTGAAGTTAGAATGTAAGTTCCCATCAAAACGTATTCATCGTTTAAAGACCAATGTTCCATTCAGTTGGGTAATCATAAATTCAATACTCCAGGGCGTTCCAAAAAATAAAAGTAAAAGTTCAAACTTTTACTTTTTGGAACGCCCTGGAGTATTGAATTTATGATTACCCAACTGAATGGAACATTGGTCTTTAAAAGACCAATTGAGTGAATAAAAGTTGGTACTTTAGATGTATGACCGATGAAAGTGATGTTTTGACATGTCCTTTTGGCATTATGTGATGGTGTTAAGTAACACATTCTAAAATGTTTAGCAATGGAAAGATCAGAGATGCATTTTCTTACTGATTCTATCTGTCCATAGCAATACCAATGCCCAGTGGTATGTTATGGCCCCCTGGCTCTGCTCTAACTGCACGTCTCCGGCGCCTTGTTACGGCCTGCCAGCGCAGCTACAAACGCGAGCAGCTAAAGATGGAGGCTGCAGAGAGAGGTGACAAGCGCAGAAAGCGATGTGAAACTGCTTTCAAGTTGAAAGAAATTGCCCGCAGAGAGAAGCAGCAAAGGTAAACTTGGGACAAAAGTTCCATTAAAATTTGGGTTTGTCACATTCAAAATATAAAAGTTGTAGAATATTGGTATTTTGCTTGCTGTTTTCTATCACCTCTCTCCTCTTATTCTTACATTTCTTATTTGCTTCTGGTGTCTGGCAGGTGGACACGTCGGGAGGCATGTGACTTTTTCCGCGTGCTGTCCAGCTTTGGAGTGGAGTATGATCCTGACACACAGCATTATGATTGGCAGAGGTTTCGCAGTCTGGCACGGCTGGACAAGAAAACAGATGAGTCTCTTGTGAAATATTTCCATGGATTTGTGGCTATGTGCAGACAAGTGTGCCGTTTGCCTCCAGCTGCTGGGGATGGTAGGTTAAATGTGTACTTACATGAAAGTGTTTGTGTTATTACATCTGACTCTACCATTTCATATTTATACCTGTCAAAGTACTATTTATTTTGTTTGTCTTTGGATTTCTGCATGCATGTGTTTGATATTGTAAAGTGCTAGGGAATAGGTTGGCTATATATAAATGTTAATAATAATATTCTCTTGCTTTTGTTTCTGTAATCTGCATAACCATCTTCAAAATCATCATCTTTTTTTTTTTGTCTGTTTCTGTTTTAGAACCTCCAGATCCATCTCTTTTTATTGAACCAATCTCAGAAGAACGAGCCTCGCGAGCCTTGTTCCGTCTGGACCTACTGCGCAAGGTGCGAGAGCAAGTGTTGTGTCACCCTCTGCTCCCTGCACGATTGTCACTTTGTCGACCGGACCCAGAGCTACCAGAGTGGTGGGAAAGTGGACGTCATGATAAGGAGTTAATTGAAGGGGCAGCTCAATATGGGTTAAGCCGTACAGACCTTACACTTATGCCAGATCCTTCTTTCACTTTCTTGCGCTGTCGGCTCAACTACCTCCAGTCCAGGGGTATGACTGGGCTTTCACGTCCTTCTACTCCCACCACTGTTCCTCCACAGCCTCCCATAGACCTTCAGCCTTCACAACTCCTCTCTGTATCTTCGTCTGTTAGTTCCTCTCCTGCTCCTCGCAGATCATCATCCTGTTCGTCTTCTGATTCATCACATAACTCAGAGGACTCCTCCGATGAAAGCAATGAGAGTAGAGCAGCCAAAATAAACGGTGAGTTTGGGTGCAAAGATTACTACAGGCTTGCTATAAAATTACATTCTGTTTTTTATTTTTCCTTAACTTTTAACTTTTACCACCTCCCTGTACATTGCATTTCATTGTTTGAACAGCACAAACAGTATATATACTTTTATCAATTTATCACAGATTAAGTAAAACTGTTGTCACTTTTCTCAAATTAACAAAATTGAATAAATTTAGGAAATCAAATGTAAGTTGTTAACCATTTTTTCACAAGATCCACTGTTTTCTTTTAAATATATACAAAAAACCTCTGTTGACTGTCACTTCGCAACTAGTGGTGCTTCGCGGGTCAGTGCAGCACTGTGTCCAGCGTCTCCACACTCTGCATGGAGATGCTGAATGCTCCCCATTGAGATGCAATGATTCTATGCATCTCTTTGAGAAGCTGTTTTGCTGCGCATGCACAGCAGCCTCTCACTGCTTTCCAAAGGGATATCATTGGATTGGCTGGCATCTTCAAATTTGATTTAAGCCACGGAGGCAGGGCGAGGTGATGCCAGCCATGGCAAGACCATTGCAGCACTGGAAAAAATAAAAGTAAAATACCTTTTCAAAGGGAGGCAAGGGGGGGGTCGGACATCTAAAGCGTGTTTTTTACCACAGTTCATATATAGTGTCAGGAATACATATTTGTGATCCTTTAAGTTGACCTAACTCAAAGTGCTTAGTGTTTGACAGACTCTTTTTCCTGTTTGCCTTCTGTGGCACAGTTTTCATGACAAATACAAGGGCAGGAGTAAACCGAATCCATCTTATATCATAGCTGTATGGGAGCTTTTATCTATTCCTGACTTTGTCTGGCAATAAACCATATAGGATCATGCCACATTATAGGCTTACTTCATATTATCTAGAGGAAACCTTTGCTCATGTGCACAATTACTTCTATATTTTCTTCTTCTGGTAGATGTTTTGGTTGGATTCTGCCAATAGATATATTGCCTGTAAAAGGTTGATTAGTTTTAATTTCATGGGAATCCTGATTATATATGGCAAGTATTTTTCAGTCTGCAGAATTTCATATAATCATGTTGATGTTCAAAAAAAAAAAGTCATATGCATGTAGACATATTTTGTTAGCGCAAACCTATACGTTAAAAAGAAATGCATAAGATATTAATATGGTTACTGCTAGAAAAAACGTGCAAGATCAGTAAAACCTGCATTGGTGTTTTTGTTGCAGACCACTCCACTGCCTATCTTAAAAAAAAAATAAAAAAAAAATATATATATATATATATATATAATCTCCACAACGAAAACTGCATGTTTAATGAACCATTTTTTCATTGGGGTATAAATAAAAATAGAGAGCAAAAAACGGGTTGCAAGAGTATTCTGAGAACGGACAGCAGCTAAAATAGCTTGGGGACCCACCGAAGGGCAGGTTATTTTAGCTGCTGTCCGTTCTCAGAATACTCTTGTGACCTGTTTTTTGCTCTCCATTAGTTTAAAGGGTAATCCAGACGTGAACCCCTTGCTCACGGTGCCTAGAGAGATATCATCTATGCCTCACTGATGATGCCTAACAAGGCTGAAACGATTGTCTGGGGTTGCTGTATCTCTCGTGCAGAGAGAACTTGCTGACATTTCGGATCTGGACTGCCCGTATGGGTGGGACTAGTCTGATATGCTTCAGATATGTTCCCTCTGTAATGGCACAAGATGAGCTAAAACCAGCTTGAGTTCTGAGCAGGGACCCACCGAAGGGCAGGCTGTTTTAGCTGCTGTACGTTCTCAGAATACTCTTGCGACCTGTTTTTTTGCTCTCCATAAATAAAAATAGCTTGCAAAAGATGTGATATCTTGTCTGCAGCTTTTGCCAGACCTTCCCTTCTTTCCCAGCCCAGACTTTCTGTGACTGTCCAACCAGACTTTCCAATGCAGCTCAATGGGAAGTCTTTTCAAGGTGGGTGCACAATTGCTGCCTCTTGAGTTTAGCTGCAGAGCAAAGGGAGAGTAACAAGGTTAAATTAATAAGTGCCCCACTCTTTCCACCTCCCTCTCATTTTATTTAGGAGAGAAAGTTCCTAGTTGGCTAATCAGCCTTTGTTTAGTGATTAGCTCACCGCATTTAATTCTCCCAGTCAAAGTTTTGGATATTGTTAGCTTAGTTATACTATTGGCATCAAAACAACTTTAGATTAAGTAATCCGTTTCGGTGTATAGATTTATATGGGCATTCAAATATACTGTATCCTTTTGATGACCACAAACCTATATGGCTCTCACTGTGATGGTGTTTCACTAATGTTATGTACTTGTTTTACCTTTTTATTATGAGTCTGTCAGCAAATTGTCATATTGTATTTCTGTGCTTTAGTTGTTTGGAGTGTAACTTTTATTTATTACAGAAGTCAATTTGATCAGTGACAGGGATTCACTTATAAAGGGAGAGTTCTGTTAAAAATCCAGTCTGTTTATGTTAATTAAGAACATGTGTTTTGCTAGCATATTTGCTATCTTGTTATCTATGCTGGCCATGAGCCAGTTAGATTTGTAACACTGAATAAATTTAACATTTGGACCTTGCCAAAAGAGCTACTACATTTACAGTGCATTTTAATAGAAGTGCACAGAAAGCATGCTTTCAGTATGTCATTGCAGCCAGAGAAGGGATTTCCTTATTTTTTTATTTTCGTTAACCTCGTATATGTTTTTGAGTATACCTTTTTTTTTTTTTTTTTTTTTTCTTAGCAGGTGTACCGCACTCTCACCTCTTTGAAGACGAGAGTCGGATTTCTCTCACTGGATCACCAGCTGACCTCACCACAGAGGACAGTGCACAGACCACTCTGGAAACACCACACAGTGCAGAATGGCCAAAGGTAATATATAGGGACACTGCTTCTCCATTAAATATGTGACTTTAACGAAATGTCTGGGTACAAAGTATAGTTTCCATTTAGGTGAAGCAGTTTGCTTGATAAGTAAGAGTGCTTTTTGCCTTTCAGGATCGGGTTCTCATCTGCCGTATTGAACAAGTCTGCAATGCAGTGCTAACTGGAAAATGGTCAGCCCCGCGGCAGATTTCTGACCCACCTAGTGACAGTGGAGACAGCATGTCTCCCACCAGAGAAGAACAAAGCCCTGCTCCCTTCACACATATACGCCCATCTCCTGACCCCAAGGAATTTACCATCAAAATAAAAAGTGTAAGTGTGCCGACATAGTTTAGCATAATTATAACAGCTTCCCATTAATGGGTTGACATTGTAATAGAGCTCTAAACCCTGTTCCTGCTTCCTGTATTGGATCTAAATGGATTTTCAGCATACTAAACTCTTTTTTAAAGTCCTATGACCCTAATTCCATTACCATACCCATGTTACAGCTTGTAACAATCTAGTACAGGCTGTTCATTTGTTTTAGATTCTGGTTTTATATTTTACTATGCTTTCTTTTAATGGTGGTCACACAGGAGGAAGGTCTGAAGATGAAATTTCAGAAACACAAACTTCTTGGCAATGGAGCACTGGAGTCCACACACCATGTCCACAAGAAGAAAAGTAAAAAGAAGTCCAGTCAGGTAATGAATGCATGCATAGTATTTATTATTTGCGTACAATGCATGAAGCACTTGATACATTACTTATAAGCGCTTTTGGATTGTCAAAGTTGAAGTGGTGTATGTGTGTATCTGTGCACACTAATGTTGAGTGCCTTGCTTTGTAGTGTGTTGGGCACACGTGAGGCACGTTTGTGGTTAAACATTCTTTTAGTGCAGATTGTTGAGAGCTATGTTAATGTGTGGCTGGACAATATTTGTTCATGCTAATCCTGCCTGCAACATTTTGGATAATAAAGCAACTCTTTTTGAGTGATGGCATTAAGAAGATAGAGGCAGATAAAGCTACTGTAAGCTGCATCATCGTCTCAGGCAGTCATTGTTTCATTTCTCCTCTACTCTGTATGCTGACTACCAGGTTCAAAGGACCAATCCTATAAATATAAAAGACAGGGAGATCAGTTGGATGCACCTTGTTGCTGAAATAAATTATGTAGAATTTTACATTTTTTTTTTTTCACCTGACATACTTATTTGTTAAATATAAGGATAGGTAAATGTAATAATAAAAATCCATGGGATTGTTACTCATTAAGGCCCTGCCTTTTGTCATGTTTTGCTATTTTTGCAACATGTATAACTAAACAAGTTAAAACTTATTAAAATTTAAAAGATTGCAGTGCTATTACAAAGTGAAGATAATATCAGTATGGATTTACCGTTAACAGATTTAATGGATATCAGATAATGAATCTGATATCTGTTGATCTGTGAAAGGTACAGCCATATTGATATTATCTTCACTTTGTATTAGCGCTGCACTCTTTTTAAGGGTTTTTTTTTTTTTTTTTTGCTGTATTTGGGGAAGGTTATACACTCAAGTGTTAAAGCTTCTGTTTATTTTTTATATCATATATAAATTAATTACACATTATATAGAGCTAGTACCTGTTTCCATTTTTTTCAAGTTAAAACATATAAATAGATTCAGTGCACTCACTCATGAAATGTGTGACGGGGAGGGGTCCCATTCCAGGGTCCTATTTAATCTTGCCCTGGAGTGAGTCCCAGATTTAAGCATTTTCCAAGTGGATTAATCTCTTAAGAGCAGGCATTTGTTTGCTAGAGTAGGCCCTGCCTACATTGGCGTTGTCAGGATTATGCAATGTATGGTCATATACTATAACAGGGATAGGCAACCTACGCACTAGTGCCATGCACGGCACTCAAGGCTGTTACAGCCAAACAGGCTCTGGCCTATCAGGAGTCCCAGTGAAACTTCAGATATCTGCTAATACGAAAAGGTGGTGAAGGACAATCCTCAATTTATGCATTGCAGATCACTTCCTCCAAACACTTGTGAATGGGAATCCACAGTGTAGTAGAGCAGCCTGCAGCTGCTGTTGCAGCTCCTGTCTTTGACCTGTACCTGGCCAGCTTGGTCCCCACTGGAACCCAGGGAAGCCACCCACACTGCTAGATTTACACAGAAATGCACAATAAGCCTCCCCTCATACATACAAATAATACTAACAGCCCACAAACAAACATATATACAATCCACACAAACATAACACGCTAACAATCCACATACATGCACATAACCCCACATGCAGCCTTGCACATGCAATACCCCAAACAGCCCCACACATACACTACCAATGTGACATATCCATCCACACACACAATTCCATAAGCAGCCCCCATACACAGCCCACATTCATATGGATCATACACAATACCACAAACTACTCCTGAACATTTACAATATAATAGGTCATATACGCACAAATACAACAATACAAAGCAATTACTGTATGTGACACACCCCTCTGTCTTGGAACTATGCTCTATTCCGTTTCCTTCGTCTATCCTTCGGTTAACTGCAGCTTAATTGGTAAACGTTGGGAGGTCGCTGTTTATGTAACTCCCATGTGGCGGCGGCCATTTTTTTTTTTTTTTTTTGAATTCTTTATTTTTGTTGTGCAGGATGGTACAAGAGATCAACAGACGCCACAACAGCGTATTGCAGAGTTAACATACATTATATAGTGGCATAAGAATTTGCACATTTTTATAATTTTAACCAGCTTAAGTAGACGATTATACTTGCAGCGTAAAAATAATTAAAACAAGTGAGAACGATTAACGCTTAACAATTGTGTATTAATTACGTTAGTGTCAGTATGGTGTGCGATCATGTATTCGTGTTTCAGGACTATGGTATGTGTTGACCAGGTATGACACAGGCTGCTATGTAGTATCCTGTTCGACTGTCCCATGGCGTGGGTGTCTGCATGTTGTGTAAAGTTAAGGTAAATAACGCCATTGGGACTGCACAATGCTCATCTCTATTCATATTCTGGCACGTAAAGATATACAAGGCATGAGAATATATGCTACAAAAGACCGCTAGTCACTGATTAAGCTTGCTGAGTGTATGTACTAGCAGGTAGAGTGCGCAATGCAGGGTATGGTATGTTGATCACAGTTCAGCAGGGACACATGTTGCGAGCTAGGTGTCTGGGCTGTAGGTTGTCATCTGTAATAACGTCCCTGAGGGTGCCTAACGTATAGGCTGGGGCCCAGCACCGTAAGCCGTTTAATTCATCCCCCTCAGCCTATGCCCACAGGGTGTACAGACCTGTCCATCTTGGGGGTGACCTGCCCGGGGGCGTCGTTGGCCCGATGTCGGGGCTGAGTGTGGAGCTTCGTGTGTGCCTGGTCAAAAGGCCTCCATGGTGCCCCTAGAGGTAAGTCCTTTTGCAGGTGTGAGGCGTGGGAGTGTGGGTGACCTCTCTTGAGCTGTGGTGCAGATCGCTCCCAGTTTCCAGCTGGGTCCAGTCTTTGAGAGCGGTGTTGCTGGGGAGATTCCTGCTTTTGCTGTGAGGCTGGTACTCGGAGAGGTGTTCTTGAGTGTCGCCGGGGTCGGGCCCCAGTTAGTCGGGGGCTTCTCTGGGCTTGTGGGCGTCGGGCTGACTTCCGCGTGGAGCAGGCCTTGCGCCTGTATAGCAGTACCGCAGCCTTCTTTGCCGGTTGTTCGTGTTTCGCATGAGTGGGTAGCCGGTGTGCCCGGAGTTTCAGGTGGAGCCAGAATGCTTGCCAGAACTTTTCAAAGGAGGCCTCGATGGGCTCAATCTCCCGATCACTCCTTGGATTTGTATGTGCTCGTGAGGGGTGCTTGTCATCCGCCATCTTTGGAGGCCATGTGGCTCCAGGGTTTTTGCTCCGACTTGTTGGCCCTGCTGAGGTGAGGTTGCACCCTGTAGGGACCGGGATATCCCCCGCCGGTCCAAGGGGGGGAAACAGGGCTGTGCAGATTCCTGTGGCATCTTGGAGCCCGGGGTTGGGAGATCGGCCGCCTCCCCCAACACCCAGGTCGTCGACCGTAATAGGCCGCAAGCTGTAGCACTGTGTGCTGCCGTCGGGTCACCCAGATTCAAGCTTAGGGAGTAGTCAAGGGTGTTTAGGGTGACCTTCTGGTTGCCTAGGGTCGGTTTTCTCCAGGTTTGCCTTAGTTTTTCAGGCAGTTTAGTTTAGTGTAGCAGGAGCTTGTGACAAACACGTCTAGCCATCTTGGCTGTCAGGCCCCGCCGCGGCGGCCATTTTAAAGTCCCGAACAGCCAGCGGCGTTCAGCGCCTAAACTATGGAACTGAAAACGGACACTATTTTGCACACGGAACACCGCTGAAGCTGCCGACCTCCCTTCTCTGCCATCCAGCACACGAACATCGGTCCGTTCGGCACTTTCCGGCACGAATAGATGCACCCCAGATAGCCATCCCATGCAGCCAGTTCATATAACGAAAGACAATGTGAAAGAATTTGGCTCCATGGCGATTGAACTGTGTGCATAGGATCTGAGCAGCATTCGGTAATAATGTGTGCTCAGATCCCAGCTATCTGGGGATACGTTGAATGTGGGGATTCTGTTTGTGTAATGTAAAGTTATTGATTTTATTGTATTTTTATGTTCAGGTACAAAATGGAGTTTAGCCTCTATCCATGGAGATAATTGGATTACTTCCCGATTATCTCCAGGATAGAGAGGAGGGTTTATCTACACCAAAGGAGAGTGTTTATGCTTGTGCTACTGTATCCACATTGTCCCAGTCTTCCATCTGGTGTCCATCAGGTGGGAGACCTGCATAAATACCGGGCAGGTAGCCCTCAATAAACCAGATCTCTGCTTAACCCTCAATACGGAGCTTGGTCTCGTACTTGGGGGTATTGGATTCATATGATTTACTCGTTCGGCTGTTTGGTTCGTGAAGGATTTAGTATGGTTCCTGTTCGGCTAATTGGAACTGCTGTTAGCTGCTTCTTCATTCGGAAAGGGAACGTCCTCAGCGGTATTAACCCCTCTTATACCGGGGTGTACCGTAACACAGTATAAATAACACAAGCAGAATACGGCAGCATACACACCTCAATTTAAAAAAAAAAAAAAAAAATAGGACCAGCACGCTATGGGACATCACAATCCTATATCTGCACAGTGCTGCTAAAAGTTTGCCTACCCCAGTACTATAACTAAACCCCCATTATTTTTGCCTAAGTGAGATTTTTTTTTTTTTTCAACTGAATGCGTTCTTCTGGAAATGATACGTTGTGCTGTGAGATTGCACCCGGGACCTACATTGTCTGCTTGTGAAGTGCAGGTTATTGTGTGTGTGTGTGTATACACATATACAAACACCTAACCACTTTTTGAAAACATTTTTCATTTTGAAAGGGAATTGCAGTTTTTTTTCTCCCCTCCTCCCATGTCCTTAAAGGGCATACTTTATGCACCAAAAAACTTAATCAAGGAGGTTTTATATGTAGAGCTGTCTGACTGCTCAATTCTCTGCTGTTTTCTTGGAGCTAAATCACTTTATTAATGCAACCCTAGCTAAGCCTTTCCTAATTGTCACTCAATCAGCCTGAGTGACAATCAGAGTGAAAGAAAGTTAAATTTTTGCAGCATAGTGTATTTTGTTTTAGTTCTTACATCCTGTTCTGTTAATCAAAGTTTAATCATGCACAGGAGGCTGCTTTAGGCTCAGTGAGGCAATTAACAGTGCAGGAGATAAGCAATTCTAAATCAAATACACTGTGCAGCAAAGAAGGCAAAGTATGGTCTCTTTTCAGGAAATGTGTATGGGTGTGATCTATATATCAAAATGATTAAAGGGACACTCCACTGCCAAATACAAAATAAATGCAAATCACTGTTAAGTAGATATACACCAAATAAAAACTTGCATGCATTTAATTATGCATTTTTTTTATTTTTTTATTTCTTATTGGAGGTATATCTAAAAACTGCTTGCAAAAACTGCAGATCTTGTCTGCTGCCTTTGCAAGGCCTTTTCTTCTAACCCTGCCCAGACTTTGTGATTTTTCAATCACAGACTTGCCAAGGTAGGTGCGCTGGGCAATTGCTGACTCTTGAGTTTAATTTCTTTTGAAATCACCCCACACCCCCCTTCAAAAAAAAAAAGACACCATCTTCATACATAAAGCTTTTCAGCTTGATAAAGTACTTCAGGGGTCTGGAGTGTTCCTTTAATCAAAGGTTGTTTTGGTGCTTAGTTTCTCTTTAAGAAAAATAAAAGAAAACCGTGTATTATACAGGTTTGTGTAATACTCTACAGTTTTTGTGAGTAAGAAGAAAATTACCATTGAACAATGACATGGCTAAAAAAAAAAAAATTACAAAATTAAAAATATCTTTCCCTCAAAGTTGTCATTGTATGGTAAATTCTAGTGGGTAAACAAAACACCCTTTCCCCCAACATTTTGGAGAGCTATACAACCCCGTTGATGAAACTTCAGTCTCCAGCAATATCACAGAAGTCAAGGATTGCTTCCTCAGGTGTCACTGTTCAGAAAGAAATGATTTAAGCAAACATTTTGTTTTAGTTCTCAGGGCTCGACAAATCCCAGATGCCAGCACAGAATTCCTAGTCTACCTGGCGCCTGGGATTTGTTGAGCTGAGATAAACTAAAACATACGTTTTGCTAGGATTTGTGAGGCGGGCGGTTGAGGGAGAATGCTGGCTCAGGGCGGACTGAAGGCAGTCTGACTGCTGTGAGAACATGGAGGAAGGCGGTTAGCGGGAGTAATCTTCTTGCTCTGCTGTGATGCAGAGAGATGACGTCACTCTGGCCACGGCATCACTAAACAGCGTGTGAGCGAGAAGAGCAGGATGATCAGAGCAGCCCCACTGGACACCAGTGAAAGGATCCACTCCAGCTCTCCCAAAGGTGGGGAAGCTGGGGAAAAAAATAATTAGTGAGTGTGTCAGTATCGGTGTAAGTGTGTCTGTGAGTGTGTTTCAAATCAGCGAGTGTGTGGTTTTTAGGTCACTTTCCCCATGCTGTGCCGATCTTGCCGTGGTTAGCCTCGCCTACATGGCTGAAATCCTCAATCTTGATGATCTCTTCCAATCCAAATCTTTCCATTGGAAAGCATAGAGAGGCTATTGCACATGTGCAGCAAAACACTGTGCCAATCAGCATCTTTATGAGGAACATTCAGCACTTCCATGGAAAGCATGGAGACTCTGAGGCACCTAAACTAGGAAGCACCTCTGTTGACCCACTGAGTGACTGTCACTAGAGGTGTTACTAAGCAGTAGTTTAAACACTGCTTTTTCTCTGAAAACAATGGCAAATGAATGAATTAAACATTTAACTTTATTGCTTTAGACAATTGCAACTATGGTTCGCTTTCATCTGTTACTGTTGAACACATAATTTTCGTTCCCAGGTGGAGCATGATATGAATGCCAGAATTCCAGTGGTGAATCAGCGAGATGGCACCCTTTTGTTAGGAGATGAAGCTCCCCGACGTTGTCAGCTTCATGAATGGTTAAACAGGAATCCAGACTTCACAGTGGACCCTCGCTATATAATGGTAAGAACTTAAATCAACTTAACAGACATTAATGCAAACTGCTTACAGTGGTATTGACTCACATTAATTTGTTTTTGGGAAATGCAATCTGGGCAGGCATTGCTTCCATAAGTCCCATATACAAATTTAAAAAAATAAATCAATTTTGTGCACAAATCGACCATAGAGAGTCCTATTTAACTTACCAGATATGCCATGCTCATACTTTCTCTCATAACTGGACTGCAGCAGAGTGGGGGGGAATGTGATGTACTATCACTTCTTCATGGAACATTAAATGACAACCGCATACAATATTCACTTCTCTCCTTTTTGCATACATTTTAATTAAATTTAAGGGTTACTCCATTTTTCCCCCCCCACATTTTCAATGCCTCATTGGGCATTAGTTATTAGAGGTGTCAACCTCAAAAAAAAAATACTTGCCTGCAATCTGGCACCCAAACTGGTTTCCACGCCCTGTCTGATGTCACAGCCTCTCTCTCCGTTGTGCAATTAAAATCTTCAAACAACAAAAAATGGAGCACTATAGGGAGCAAGGAGTGCTAAATGTAAAAGGACACTATAGTTCTGGAATACATGATTGAGTCCTGTCCCCTTTTCTGTGGAGTGAAAAGGTGATTTTTATTTTTCTCCGTTGCCACACTGGTTTCACCATGGCTGGCCCCGCCTTCATGGCTGAGATCATCAGTGTTGATGATCTCAGCAAATCCAGTGATTTCCATAGGAAAGCATTGGAAGGCTATTGCACATGTGCGGCAAAATGCTGCGGTGTGCCAATCTCATAGGGATGAATAAAATCCGTGCATCTCTGTGGAGAGCATTCAGCATTTCCATGAAGAGCCTGAGGATGCTAAATGTAGGTTCAACACCTTATGCAGCATTGACCCAGGAAACCCCTCTAGTAACCTTCTGAGTGACTGCCACTACAGGTGTTACTTGGTAGCAATGTAAACACTGGCTTTTCTCTGAAAGTGCAACGTTTTCACTACTCAGCCTGCAGGGTCATACTATAAACCCCAGAACCACTTCATTAAGCTGTAGTGTTTCTAATGACTATAGTGTCCGTTAAGGTTGGAAGCAAGATAAAGCTTCCTCTTGCAGGCTGGCAGATAAGCTGACCACATCTGTCACCAATTTGCTGTGCACGCTGACAATAGACATGTTTTGCACAGAATTGACATTAAACCGCCCGGAACAGAGTTCTGGACTTCATAAGTCAGGTGTGGAACAAAAGTGCAAATGATCAAATTTTACAGGTTTCTTCCACCGTTACCACTTCATGATGAAGTGATCATGATGGCTGTAGTAACCCTTTAATTATTTATTTATTTAAAAAAAGTATTAAATGCAAAGCTTGATGTGTTATTTGTTTGTGTCCACAGTTCATGGAAGATCGCAGAAAACGCAAGAAACACAGAAGCAAAAAATCTAAATCTTCTGCATCACTTGGGAGTAGCATGCAACCTCCACATCATCACAATGGAAAGAAGGTGAGTAAACCTATTCACTCACAGCTCATCAGACATTTAAACTGTTTGAGACTGATCTTTCTCTATAGAAATACCTTACTGAAATACTACACATGCACACTTTTTAAAGGGACACTATATTCGCCAGAACAACTACAGCTTAGTTGTTCTAGTGTCTGCAGTCAGTCCCTGCAGGCTTTTTGCTGTAAACACTGCCTTTTCAGAGGACATTAACTCCTGTTTTGAACCTACATGGACCAATACCAATGCTGGTTCGTATGGAAAGCTGTCAAACAGCTTGTGGATCCATCTTTAGCTTGTCTAAGATGTCAATTACATTTACAGGGTTAATATGCAAGTCACGTGAGTTCTGCACACAAGTAAAGTATATGTGGAAGCTCTGTGGAGGAGGTCCACCACCCACCACGAATAACATAAACATAGAAGTCCAGATTTGTCACAACGTAGAGTGAAAGCAAAAATATTTATGAAGATTTTTTTTTAAAAAGACAAAAAGGATACGTTGGTTTAATACAAGATTAAGGCATCACGACCGAAACTTATCCTTTTTGTCCTTTTTTGTTATGTCCTTAATAAATGTTTTTTCACTCTACGTTGTGACATTTACAGGGTTATTCACTAAACTCTGAATTTTCGCAAATTAAATCTGTATTGCAAAACTCAGGTAAGAATAGCTGATTTGAAAAACTCCAACTCTGCTTTAGTCACAGCTTGGCAATTTTTAATTTTACAATTTAAATTTAATTTGCTAAAATTCAGGGTTTGGTGAGTAACCCTGCTTTGAACATTGTGGAAAACTAATACAAAACTTGAAATCTATATTACACCCTAAGTGCCATAGTGACCTCAAATAGAAAAATAGAGATTATGTTTAACATATGCAATTGGTTTCTAAATTTTATGGTGCAATTTATTTCTTATACATTTTCTCTACAGTCTTCTGTTCCAGAGAGTACATTTGATGCCAGACACCTCCCAACAGCTGCTAAAAAGAGGAAGAAACGTCCTCCTTCAAAATTAATCCTACCATCTTCGCTACATGGAGCTGGTGACTCTTCTCATTCCTTTCCTTCAGACTCTCGGCCTGAACCCACTCCTCCGTCCTTGCGGCCTATGTACGGGGGAGCAGGAGCTGCAATACTTCACTCTTCAGAACTTGGAGGGTTAGGATTACCCCGTTACCACCAACTGCATGCATCTTCTACAGGACGGATGCAAGGATCCCATTTTAGCGATGATTTACCTGGCTATGAGCCTCCCCAGCGACACTTACCTCTCATTGATGACCCTATGATGCCAGCAAACTGTTCCTCCAGTGATGATGAGCTGGACAGACCCTGATGGAATTCTCTGCTGTGGGGGACCATAGACTACATTACTGAGAAACTGGGCCAAAATCCCTCTAGAAAGACGACTGTTAACATCTTCTCATCAGAGGCCTGTTCTGTTTTTCTTTTTCCGTCTAAAGACTTACTGATGGGGTTTTTTTTCCAGCCCAATGTCCCTGGATCCTCTGCAAAGGATTCTAGCTGGATCATTATAGACAAGTAAATAAGGCTCTGAGATTTTTTTTTTTGTTTTCTTTTTTTACTTTTTTTTTTATATTATAAATTAATATTATTAACTCTGTTGCTGGCACAGAAGAGGTTCTGGGACATTTTTTGAGACGTCTTACAGTGCAATGAGGCACTTCAGGGTCTGAATAACAAGGTCTTTGCTCCAGTTAGGGATCTCCACTATTCTCCTAGCACTGGTGTGCATAACTCCCATAGGTCACTTGGTGTGGGGGTGTGATGAAGAGGTGTCGCAATACATGGAGGCACTGTACTTTTCTGCATAAGGTTCAAAGCTTTGCATAGCAGAGTTGATGCAGAATGATTTCTGTGGGTGGGTAGGGACATTTTCTGTCTTTGAGTACATGCGGGACCTGTCACTGAGGAGCAGGTGAGTGCAGAGAGTAAGGGGCTCATTGCAACCACTCTCACTCCTTGGTCATCTGAAATATGAATAAATTCCTTGATTTAATATATTGTCTCTTGAAATAAACTGATTAACAGGCATCACTTTTCCTGTTTCGTAGAGCATTGAGCCCCATTCAGATTTCCTTGCACAAATAAATGAATGCAGGCTGAATTATTCCCAATGCCATTTTTTTTTTTCAATTAAATATCACATGAATTGAAATATGCGTTATGAATGCCTTTTATTTCTGTGTATGTAATGTACATCGAACTGTGTAATGTAAACGAAACATGCACCAAGCAGCCGCTTACCTATAATGTATTTTCAATTGTGTCCAATAATCTACACGGAGCTGTGCAAATAAATGCCTAGCGCAATTTGCCAGAGCAAATCTTTGCTGACCTGACAGCTTTTATTACGTGTTGCTTTTATCTGCTTCCTACCTACATAATATCACGTCGCTGGGAGGGGACTGTTTAATAAAATTGCTCTACACCCATCACATTTCTTGAGAAACAAGCCCATCTTTTCCTCTGTTATAGAATAGAATCAGGAGCACCAACCTCTTTTTCTCTTCTGCTCTTCTAAAGAAAGGATGTACAGGACCATGAAGTAGCAGTGTGGGAGAATAGTATTTCTAGAGTCTTAAGGTTGAGCATGGTAATATTCTTATATCTGCTTATGTTTGACATGCGTTGATTAATGCTTTTTATTCAATGTTGCAAGATAGAAATTGGATCATATTTTGTGGCCATAAAAGAAGTATTTATTTAAAATTGTATATTTATATCATTAAGGATCTCCAATACTTTAATGTATTTTAAACATTAAAGACCAGGATCTCAGTGCCTTATGGATCAGTGCAGAATTGCAACATTTGCTTTGTGTTTCGGTTTACTCTTACTAGACCTATATATTGTCTTTGTTTAACAGGACAGTGTATGTTTTGTTTATTTTATTTTTCAAGTGTGTATTTTATTTACACACATACGAGTGTAATATATTAATGGGTAAATATGATGAAAAATTTTCATATCAAAAATTTCTTATTGGTATGATGAACATACATCAGGACCCATAACCACCAAACACATTTTAATTGATTTATGTTTAGTAGACATCCCACGGATTTTATGTGCATGTGCTTTGAATTTACCATGCTACAGTTTAATTAAGTGGCTGGCGTTATTTCTACAGTGTTCCCCAATTAGGGGAAATAAACATCTAATGTACACATTGCTAAAGGAATTAGTTATAAATGTAATGCTTACTTGCATGCCATTCATGTACAGCAATGTCAAATGTATAGCTTTCTCATACCCATTTTTATAATAAATAGGGCCGAGTCTTGGATATAATTTTTGAGGTTTATCCCCTACACCAAATTGCAAAAATTAAAATAAAATAGTTAATATGGAACCTGGAACTACTGTTTGGTATTTAGACTTAATTGGGTTTAACAGTCGACATGTTACAATTCCCTACATAAAAGCATGTATTTATTAAAAGCAATAAAGCCACCACTTTATTTTTTTTCTCTTTACCCAAATTTCACAGTGGCTTTGGAGTTTGGATGCAAGGAAGTGTCATTAGAAAAATACTCAAGTTTGCAGTCTACTACACAGTCTGTTAAGCCATGTCTTGAAGGGAAACTATAGTCTCCTTATTCTAGCTGTTCTGGCGTCTATAGCCTGTCCCTTTTCAGAGAAAACACAGTGTTTACATTACAGCCTAGTAACACTTCTAGTGGCCACTCCTCAGATCACTAGAGGTTCCTCCTGAGTCAGTGCTTTACTGACGGTTAGCAGAGAACTTTCCTCATAGAGAAGCTTTCCCCATAGAGAAGCCTTGATTCAATGCATCTCTATGAGGAGATGCTGTTTGGCCAGGACGGTGTTTTGCTCCGTCCCGGCCTCCCTGGCTAAGATAATCAGAATTGACTATCTCCACCAATCCAATGCTTTCCAATGGGGAAAGCATTGTGTGATTGGCTGAGATCATCAATTCTGATGTCAGCCAAGGAGGATCGGGGGGGGCAGAGCCAGTGCCGGCGGACTTAAAAACCCACCTTATTTCCAGGCTGTTTAACTATTTAAGGAGAGCATGGGAGGCGCTAAGGGATTAAATAAATAGTGTTTTTAACAGTATAGGGTCTGGAATACATGTTCCTTTAAGCATATGTTTCCTAGTGTACTTATCTCCTCTTGCAATGCAAAAATGGCTAAATATAAAAGGGAAAAACTAAACAAAATGCAACCTGTAATTTTGTTATTTTTTTTTAAGTAATGCTGAGGGCCGGTTTAATATGTGGGTTAACCTGTATTTAAAGTGCATGATGTGCTGGATATCTCATAGTCACCTATAGGATGTTTCTTTTAAAAAAGTTAATCTGGATAGCAGGTTTTTAGGGATATGTATAAAGGGAGGGGGCAGTGGCAGCTGGAGAGCAACACCTATTAAGATTCCAAGAGGGGAACTCTTTTCACATTTCATATTCTTCAACATTTAAAAATGTTCTCACAAAAAAAGCCCAAGCAATATTGCATTGCCATATACACTATTCTTATTTACCACTTTAAAAATTGTTGTGCTTACAGAGGCATCTGTTCTAATTAATATTGTTAAGCAGCGAACCTGTGTTAATTTTGTCTGCAAACGTCAATTTAGTTTTAGTCATAGACCTTTGACTAAAAAGCCATTCAAGTTGTTTTTTAGTCATCTGAATTGTATGGTTTTGTTGACTAAATCTCCACTGGATTTTATTTGACACAACTAATATCTAATGGGTTTAGTTAATGTCTCTCGATCTGTCTTTTTTGCCCCTTTCCTAGACCCTCTTGGTGTCTCTCTCAAGCCCTGGTTTGTCTCTTTTTGTACCTTCTATAGCCCCTCTGTGCAGTGTTAATTTTGGCTGCAAATTTCAATTTAGTTTGAGTCATAGTCTTTTGACTAAAAAGCCATTATAGTTTGTCGTATTCCAGTCGACGAAAATTGTTTGTCTACAAAATTAACACTGCAGCGCACCATGCAGACTATAGAAATTCTAACATTAGGACTTCAAAGTGGGTCTAACAGGGGCGTAATGATGTGAGGTAGTCATGCTCTGTGTGGCTGGAATCGCCTTGGTGAATGGCGGTGGCTTCCACACAATAGCCCGCTGCAGCTTACCTCCCAGATTAGACCGACAATACCACTAACGCATATCTCCCAGCCCCCTCTCTCTTCATATGCTGAATACTTCTCTAAGGAAGCCTACTTGGTCGGCGTTGCTGTCAATACCTCTGCCAAGAAATTATTCTGCCCCACTCATCTCCACACTGTGGCGTGGACAACTCCAGGGAAGAGTGAGCTGGCAAAAAAGCAAGTGCTTACTGCAGCTTGAATCCTACTACGTCTCTTTAAGTTAAGACAGAACCAACCTTAAAAACAGGCAATAAGTACCACCCCTCTCCCCTCCCCTGAGAGGAGAACATAAGTTTAAGGCCGTAGGCCTGTATTTGTGGGAGGAGTTAGCGTTCCTATAAAACGCTACTCCCCTCTCCTTACCTTTGCCGTGATGTACGCTGTTCACCTCCCCTTGTCTGGCCGGACATCCGGTTCCTGACACCATGCTTCCAGTCCCGTCATTCCTTGATTCCTTCCCGCGAAGCAGCACAGTCGTGAAAAATCACACCTACCTAACGCCAGGTAATCGGCAGGAATAGCCGCGTTCGGGCTATTCCCGCCGTTCGACTTTAATCATTCACCACTTACATGTTTTTCAAACATGCGAACGTACGACATTTCGGCAAATGTATTCGTTTTATTTGTTTCAATTCGGCTATTCCCGCCGTTCAGCAAATATATCATGTCATTGAATTTATGTGTATTAATGTGTTACTATCCTATTTCTCAATATTATGACACATTTCTCAAACACTGATTAGATCACTTTTCTGTATCCAAAACCCTGACATTCACTTCTGACGGGAATCATAACAAACAAGTAAAGTCCAATTTCACAGCTCTTCTCATGGAATGCTCTTCTATGCAACATTTCTTTTGTCTTTTTTTTTTTTTTTGGATAATTCATGACGGTGGGATTTACGAAGAGGTGAAACACCTGCAGGATCCCACTCCTGATTATCAGCCCTGAAAAGTAACACATAGCTTTACACACCGGCATTTCTCTCCTAAGTAAATCCTCCTTTTATAGAACTCCCGTACTGTAGTTGTAGGACAGTCTGTTACCTTTTCAATGAAGAGGCTTGTTTAAAAATCCCATTTTAATGCCGAGAACGAGATATGAATTGATTACCAATGCTGGCAATCTATGCAATATATATTTCACTGGCCAGGTACGATGATCTAATATGTTTGCATATGAACTTCAATTAAAAAGGTGTATTGGCCATATATTTCCCTGTGACTCTAGAGAATGATCGATGTCACTTGATTCTGCTTCAGTGGGTAGGTGCCAATGATCTTAATAACTACTTTGTATCCTCTATGTATTTCATAAACTAACAGATATGTAATAATGTATTCCCAATCGTTTTCTGGGACTCCTGCAGCGTTGTATAGAAGCCAGGATACAGTGATCAATGGCACAGCCACTGAATGCAGATATACACAGCTTCTCCTGTGTGAATCTGCTTTAATAACATGTAATAAAGATAACCAGCTCAGTCAATGGAGCAACAAACTCCCCTACAATGCCTTATCGTGCAAGATAAATGGATTAGCAGCAAAAATAATCGTTCACTTAACTTGTGATTGTGGCTTTTTCAATACATTACAAATGGTACATTTATATTCATCAGCTATTCTTTGCCTAGTCACAGTGCATGCAGTGTACAGTGCTGTGTACTACGCTGGCGTTTATTAGAATTAAAATAAAAATGCTCTTATAACGTTTAAAAAAAAAAAAAAATCTCCAGAATTTTTTTTAGCTGATAATACACGATCAGGTCTCTTACTGGTTGAATAAGGGCAGGACGTGAACACGTATTAAGCATCACTCAAGTTCCAAAGTTTCTTTTCTCCTGTTATATGCTACCTCAATTACAAGTTTCGCAAGAGCATTTCACTACAACCCGGTTATAGCTCAACTAATCTTTGCGTTTATCAGGTACTAAACAATCTTACGTCATGTTGACATTTTCTGCCTATACAAGGCCACGCAACACCAGAAGGGGTTATTAACATACGGGGGGCTTGATTTCTTGCCTTGCCTCGTCAGGCCACGGCTTCACTCGACTACTTATTCATTATCGTCAACTCTCTATCTCACAATAGACGTTCTAAACTCCTTCAACATCTTTTCATTCTTTCACCAATTTTTACCGTCAAGACCACGTTTAAGCACCATAGTTTCAAGGGTCTCCTTATGGTGATATTCTTTCTGATTTGTAATAAAAAAAATTGTATTAATTAACTTTCTTCTTTTCTCCTCCCATCTTTATTATACTCTTAACCCCTCCCCTTCTTCTCCCTCCTCCAACTCTTCCTCCTTGTGTCATAGGTCTCTCACAGAATTTCTACACTGAAACCACGTTTGGGTTTTGCTAGGTACGTTGCATTACTCCATTCATCAAGCCCCCGTACAGGGTCAGAGAACTGGCTGTATAGGGCTAGGCGCTGGCCTTAGTTGAACAATAGCTGGTCCCGCAAGCCAACTCCCCAATCTGAACACTGAGATTTCGGCCCTCGGCTCAAACCATAGTTAGAGCTTCGCGTTCCCCCACCTATTGGGATTATAGCCAGGGCCTCACCTATCACGGCCACATGTATTGAATCTTTTACCGTCGCAGAGAGGCC